TGCACTGAATTTCCGTGGGTACTTCTTTCCCTCCTCAGGTTGTGGGTGTCTCAGGTTGTCCGGGGACATTGCATGGAGGCGGTGACACCCAAGGTGAGTGGGTGGGTGGGGTGGGGCCCGGCGAACAAAGAGGATCCCCAAACATCCTTATCATGTCGAGGAGTATGTGAGGTGTGCACTGCCCCATTCTGAGGGGACTCTGCATGTCTGCATGTGGTGCGGCGCTATGATTGGCTGCTGGATGGCCTGTTTGGGAGCCTTGAAAGGAAGCTGTAAAGGGAGGGTCCTCACCTCCTCGCATCGCCTCCCTCCCGCCCTCGCCCGCCCGCCCGCCGCTGGCTTCTCACCGCCCTCCTCCATCTGCCCTGGCAGCAGCTTCAATCGTGTGTGGTTCGTCTTTCCTCCATCTGCTCCTCGTCCTTACAGGACAAGCCCAAGTCGCTGTTGAGTTGCAAGTCCTTTGATCCCACCCGTGACCTGACGGACCTGGCTCGCTGGCTGACTATCCTGGCGGAGGAGCTGGCGCAGCGCTGCCGGGAGGATGAGGAGGTGCACCTGCGTAGGGCGCGGACGCTGGGTGGGTTGCCTTGGACCTTGGGACTTGGACATGTTGGGAGGCTGGGGCTGTGGGTGGGTCACAGTTGAGCCCTGCCGGCCTGCCTACCTGCCCACCTGACTCACTACCTTGTTACCTACCCCCTTACGTGCCGCGTGCCGCCCTTAACAACACATTATTTGCTTTACTTTGCACACACACATACACACAAGCGCACACAAGCACACACACACACACACACAAGCGCACGCAAACATGTGTACATGTTGGAGCTTCCCTCGCTCGCGAGTTTCTTTACAATGTGTCTTGTGAACAGGTTCATTTCCGACTGGTCCTCCCACCTCCTCCTTCCTGCCTTTCACCCCCAACTCTTATCTAGGGTTGGCACGGGTACTATATTAGAAAAGAGTACTATACTATAATAGTACTATGCATAGTACTACATAGTATGCAGGGCTCTAAACTGGCACTAGTTTACGACGCTCGTACCGCGTTCGTACATAGTAAAATAATATAGTAAAAATAGTACTAGATAGTACTAGATTTGGGTTTGGATAGTGTCAAGTATTAGTTGGACCAAGTCGAGATCTGCAGTCAAGCTGTGATTATGTCTTCATGTGCCATAACACGCCTTGAGACATGGGGTTTGGGGTCCACCCACCGGGCACTGAACTAACAAAAAATGATCTGGATGACCGCAGCGATCTGCTTTCTAATGTCTAAGTACATATTTAGAAAGAACAAAAGAAGACCTTTCCAACGGTGTAAAATTTCAGGTACAACGGTTGGTCGTACACCCCCCTTCTACTGGGAGCGTGTACCTGCCTAGTAATAGTATCATAGTACTACATTACTATGTATTGTACTATTTCTTACTATACTATACTATTTGTGTTAAAAAATATAGTATTTTTGCCAACCCTACTCTTATCCCATGCCATTTCACCTCACCTCACCTCACCTCACCTCACCTCACCTCACCTCACCGCACCCCACCCCACCTCACCTCACCTCACCTCACCTCACACCGTTGCCTGGGTGCAGTGCTCCACTACCGCGGCAGTGGCCCCCGGGAGCGCAGTGTGCGCTGTCCCATGCCCCAGCATGGCAGGGAGGGACCCTCGCCATCTACCCTCGCCAAGGCCGGTCTGGAGATGCTCAGGTGCTCATGTCTTCTTCGGTGCGGGTGCATGAGCTTGACGATGATCAGTCCATCATTAGCTTGATGTGAACAGGAGATGGGGAACAGCTTGGTGCCGCAATCAGCCATGGCGCTATTCCGACATGTGTACGTCGTCTTGTTGTTCAGTGGCTGCTAGCCACGCAAGCAAAATGGGTCCATGTTTTGAGCCTCTTTCCTAACGTTTTCAAGTTTATAACACCACTTCCGCATACCCACCAGGAAGTAGCTGTAGCACTAGATCATTAACACGAGAACACGGGTGTTTTATTGGCCACCTATTCCATGCCCACGGTGAAGTGGAAGTTGCATAACACAAGCTGGAATTACCCCCAAGTTCGGAATGTTGATGCCCTGCTGCCCAGTCACCCCGTTCTCTCTATCCTCTCCTTCGCAGGCGCCAGCCCGATGCGCTTCCTTGCAGCCGCCTGGCCCTGGCCGCCACCGAGTTCGACGATCCACCTGCAGCTGGTGCCCGGGCCATCACGCGCTTCTTCTCTACCCTCCAGCCGCAGCACCATCCAGCACAGGAACGAAAGCAGCATGAGCAGCAGCAGCAGCTAGGTCAGCCGCTATTGCGTCTAGGGCTAGCACGGCACCAGCAACAGTTCAACCAACTTGTGCAACAGGACCACCAAACAGCACTCCAGGAACAGCGGCGGGGGGGGAAACAGACCCAGCAGGAGTGGCAGGTGCAGATGTCGCGGTTGTCTGGGACCGGCATCGATAAGCGTGAGGGAACCGATGATCAGCTGGCGGCCTGGAATGTCAGTGACGGTGGTGATGGCGGTGGCGGTGGCGGGGACGGTGATGGCGGTGGCGGTGGGGATCAGGATGGCGGGGATGGAGTGCGCAGCTCTAGTCCACAGCATGGACTAGAACGTTACGGCAGTACGTTTGGAGACATTGGTGCAGACATGGATGAGGTGATTGAGTTGGGGCGCTATGTCGCTGTGATGCGTGATACGGAGGATGGAGGAGTAGGGATGCAGCTGCAAGGCCGGGCCCTTCATCATCAGCAGCAGCACCGCCCGCACCCCCAGCCGCAGCAGGGCCAGGAGGTTCTGTATCCCCTGGAGTATCAGCAGCAGCCGCACCACCACCACCACCGCGTCGATACCCGGCAACAACCAGAGCCCTATAAGAGGCGTCGGGTCGAGGACGCGGGATGTGGAGAGGACGTGCACTTGCAGGGCAAGGAAGCACAGCAGCAGCTGACCGCGTCACTGCGTCCTGAGGAGCAGCAGCAGCAGCAGCAGCAGCAGCAGCCCGTGCCCTGGCCAACGCCAACGCCTCTTAGCTGCTGGCCTCAGCACCAGTGGCGGGGAACAGGCACGGCATCAGGAGAGCAGGATCTCATGACGTGCGATGCGGATACGCACGGCTGTCCGAACTCGATGGGACCAGGAACGGGAAAAGGCTGCACTTCAGCAGCACCAGCACCAGCAGCGCCGCAGCACGAAGCCGGCGGCACCTCTGCTCACGGGGGGGAGCTTGACGCCGACTTCGCGTTCATTACCGATGGCGGCTGGGCTCCGTCAGCGGCAGCCGTCACGACGATCGCAGACGGCCATGGCCTGATGCCACGGGGAGCTGACTGCAGCGCGGAATTGAACCCCTCTCCGGCTCCCTGCCCGGGTAGCGCTGCATTAGATCCGGATCCCGGGACTGTGGACCTGTTAAGCGGTGTGGATCTGGATGAGCAGCGGCGAATCCTGCATGAGATAGAGCTGGCACGACTAAGGGCTGCGGGCAGGCCTGCAGGATCAGGGACAGGGGCTGGGGCAGCACACGGTGGGGGAGCTGTGGGGAGGGGAACGCAAGGGAGGAGGAGGGGTGGAGGCGCAGGCGGAGGCGCAGCGCGCGGCCGAGGGCGTGCGGCAGGGCAGGGTGTGCCGGGGAAGGGGCAGATGCGCTTGACGGCATTGCTACAGCCTCGGCAGCAGCAGCAGCACCACCAGTAGCTATTGCCGCGGGCTGCGAAATGCATTACCGCGAAATTACTCTGCGAAAAGCTTAGGTTAACAGATTTTGGAAGGGTTGGTGGTATCGAACCTTACGTCTTAGCAGGGTAGGACTGAAGGGACTTCGTGGGACATCGTGGGAGAGTTCCTGAGTGGGGCATTGGAGGGCGGGATGCAGGAGCCATCTGCTCAGCCCGCTTGGCATCGTGAAATGTGGGCATGCGATGTGTAGTGTACAGTAACAACATTGCACAACCAGTCCAGTGCACACACATGATCTGGTTGCATCAATAAATGGACTCCTGTTGGCTGTTGGCAATTGATTAATTCTTGATCGTACTTGCTGGGTACAGGTTCATCATTTGGTGCATAATGAGCGGGACCCATAAAATGGCCCGCTTGTGCCCAAACGGTGGAAATCACTGTTGTATCTTTAACTTTTCTGGCACGTAACTCCAGACCAGCTGGTTGGTGCCAGAACATCTGTCGGTTCTCTTCATGTTGTCCATTTTTTTCCTGGCAGGCGCCCGACGCCCCTGGCGTCCCGAGGATTCAAACTAAGGAGCAAGAAGTCCTTTCTGGTGGTTGTGTACGCGCAATGGCCGTCGCCACCCTTCGCTGCATGTTGGATGGGTTCAGGTGTGATGACGGCTGGCTGGGTGGGGCATGCGGCAGACCGGTACATTGTGTGTTTGCAATATTACAAATGTTCGTTCCCGCTTATCACGCCATACGTAACAAGCACCGTCACAGCAGGGTTTCCCAGAAGACGCTGGGAGGGCATCAAGGGCTTCGGTGTTTTTAACTCCTTCGCTCAGCAATATCTTCCTTGAACTGCATGAACTGTATGTACGTCCTGTAGCGCATCGTTTCTGCATCTAGTCTGGTACGTATAAGGCCCCGTCGCGTCATCCTTCTCCGTGTTCCAGGCGGGATTTCGCCCTGCGCTGGTTCGGCGACTAGTACCAATCTGGTGATCAATCTGGTGAAGAACACCTCAGTGGCCCGCCATCTGTCATTTTGTGGTGACTACCAATGCCAAGTTGTAATTCCAGGTTGCATACAACAAACCAGCTCATGCATAAAGGGAAGCACCAAACGTCACACGACAACTGAACAATAAAAATGTGGACAATGCAAATGATGCAAAGGAAACCCCAGCATTGCACTGCATTGCCTCAAAACATGAAATAAAGCTGGGTGAACGAGAGCGAATTATAAATTAGACACCCTGACCTGATAGAGTTTCAGGGGTTTCAACTGCTCCCACCCCCGCGGAAACTCGCGAGGGTGAGGTCCCTCAGCACACCGGCGGGGGGCAAGCGGGAGGTGGTGGATCCTCATGTGGCAAGTCAGAATGTTCGCTGGGGCCCTCCGAGGGAGCTGCGGGCGGGAAGTCCACAGGCCGCGTGCTAGAAGATGCGGAAGGCTCAATGCCGGTGGTGGGCGAGGAGGCACCTGCAGCGGGTTCACCGGCGTAAGTGCTCCTGCCCTCTGGGGCGCCACCACCGCTGTTAACCACAAGCTGCTCCGAAGCGTTGGCGGTCTCACCACCGCCGGCGGCCCCTCTGTCCGTCGTGCCCCTATCGGCACCGGTTGGGGCTGCAGCCGCCGGTGCATCCCTGGCATCAGCAGCAGCGCCCCCGCTGGCACCGTCAGCTTCTGCGGCCGACCGCCACCCGGCCAAGGAGCGAGAGCTGGCGGCCGCCTCATCCGCTGTGAGGGAGGCTGCGAGGCTGGCGGCGGCAAACTGGCGCATGAGCTTCGTGTTGGCGCCCTTCATGTCCTGATCAGGCGACAACAGGGGTAGCAGCAGTATTGAGGCCACCATTTCTACGCTGCGTGTTGGGTTTCGGACCCAGCCAGCTAGAGATATCCGCTGTCGATGCAACCGACATTTTTAGGGGCTCAGCAGCAGGGGGAACTACTAAAACGCAAATTGCATGTTTGTAAATCGAGCCTGCGAGCTATACTGCTCTATTGATATCATCGTACGCACTCCTGTCATACACGCACCCATGCGCACCTTCTTGGCCAGCCGCTGCAGCTGGTCCCACTCGAAGGCCTCCTCGCAGTAGTGGTCGCGGACTTCCATGAGCCGAAGCCCTGTGGTAACAGGGGACCATGCACAAGGCTAGGTCCGAAGGGGGTTCACAAACAGGGCTGCAGTATGGGTAATGATGCCGGCTGTGGCATGATGCGGAGCGGCTCACACGACGGGTTTGCTTCTGGCGCACCTAGTGATGTGTTTTGCCTCGTGATCAGTGCCAGCCACTCGTCGCCGTCCTTCATGGGCACATTCTGCAAGAAATGGTGCAGGTCTGTGGCGGCCTGAGAGTCATAGGCGCCCAACGCACCACGCCCGGAGCCTTCTAGCTGTGTAAGCACCACCCTGAGTGGCAGTTGCAGCAGGATGAGCAGCAACAGTAGCAGCAACAGCAGTATCAGCAGCAGTAGCATGAGCAGCAACAGCAGTAACAGCAGCAGCAGGAGCAACAGCAGGAGCAACGGCAGCAGGAGCAACAGCAGGCGCGGGGAGGTGGCACGGTGTTCATGGCTGTTGCTCCCGCAGCCCACTGCAGGCAGGGTGTTGAGCAGCAGCATGTCTGGCACGACCCACACAGAGAACATGGTCACCGAATTCCTGCTTGTTTACAACGCCAAGCGGTCTCAAGGGATGTGTGGATGTTGAATTACCTGATGCCAGTAATGTTTGCATACATTTCTGCAAGAATCCACATACCGGTCCCGATAACAATGCATTTTCCAATACTTAATGTGTCAGTGTATTTTGCCCTGAGCTACCCAATGAGTGCTCTACCACTCCGCTGGTGCTTGGCTAGGCAGGCAGCCGCACCATCTCACTGCTGACCCACCTGCGACTAGCAGTTGCGATAGCGCCTAACAACGGTACCCGACAACGGTAGCTACAGCGGTACGTTCAAGAGCATTGCCGCAAGCAAAGCTTACGGGTGGCATTGCCAACAGCCCCAATAAACAGCACAGGGACAAGTCGCCCTTATCAGCTTTTCGTCGCATCCTGCGGGCCCCAGCTTCGAAATAAACAAAGGGTGCTTGTCCCGGATCTAGCACATTGCCAACACCCCGGCGCGGCACGTAAAAGCTGTGTTGTGCCTAGCATCCCATTCATGCATTGAGCAGGTTGTTGAGGACCCGGCAGAAACCCTCATAAAAAGGCCTTCAGGAGCTGCACACTGCAGCCGAGGGGACCCGAATAGCCACTGCACTCACACAGACCGATCCACACCGACCCCCCACGTGCATTCCCGAGTTTGGCGCCCGATTGCAACCCCGGTTTTCGTTATCAGGACCCACCTCGCGGCAACGAAGGTGAAGAATGTCCGCAGGATACCGGCAGCCTTTCGTTCAGGACTCTGACCCCCGAAGCTGTCTGATGGCACGTAAACACCGCCCTTGGTGCGCACGTTCCGAAAGCACGGGCGCATCACGCGAGCGACATGGCTGTGCCTATTGTGCGCTGGTACGCCGTTCGTGCACGCCGTGCGCATTGCCATTTGTAGTTTTGTTCAGTAACCTACATTGCGGTTCTGTTAGAGCATAAAGGGGACCAGCTGTAGTTAACCCCGTTTTACACTTTAGCCTTTAAAGTTCACTAAAATTAGTTTTCGGATAGTTATCCTGAGCATATCTTGGATTTCATACTGAACAACCATAAAGATGCGGCGTAAGAACGACCGTGACATTAACTGCCCAACTCCCTTGAACCTCCAACAGCAGGTAGCTTAGCTGCAGACGTGTAGAGCTGGATGATCTTATATGCTGCAACCCTCATGTGAAAATATTCACACAGAATCAATGATCCATGTGAAGATTATTTAAATGCAACTGCCCTGTGCGTTGACATAGACCCCGGGGTCACAACCTCAACGAAATGATACCGTAAAGGACAGAACATCTCTCAAACACATCGCCGTGTCAATTCTTATGGATACAGATGCAGTTCAGATGATATTTTTTCCCGGGCATAAACAAGAGACTATGAGTGTCCAATTATGGGCATGCCAATGGAGACGTCAAGACCTCCCGTATAAGAATCCGTTGACTGGCCGGGCCTGAAGATGAGAGACCAGTAATAATATACATCTTAAGCTGGTCAGCCGCGACGACAAATGTACTTTCAGTGTCACGCAGCGCAATACTGCTGATCTGATTGGACTGTGGACACCGGTAGTAATGTTTTGGCTCGCCACGCGTGGGGGAATGGAATATTTAATTTAGAAGTTTTGCGTGTCGGCATGTCCCCTCGGTGGCGCAGGGGGCCGGTGTAGACCGTCGGCTGCAGGTCGTGCGTGTCATGAACTAAAATACCCACACTCGCGCGTGGCCGGCCCCCAAGGGGACTGGCGGCTTACCACAAGGCAATCCGTCAATGCTTTCAAGGGTATTCATGATATTGATAGTTCATGATAATAAAGCTTTGTCATCGCCGTTTGAGTTTCAGTGACCCGTTGGTCCTTCCAGTAGTCCCCCGCAAGCGAATGGATTCGGGGTCCGGGTCGAACGGGGATGGTGCGTGGCGGCAACTCACTTGATGTTTTAACTCTGTTCGATGAGAGTGGTGGTGGGTGGGGGATTTTGCAGGCAACAGTGGCGTAAGGCTTGTCTCAGGGACGAGGTCATCCGCCACTGACATCCAAACTGTTCACCTGGGAAGGTATCGCTGTTAACAACGTGCAGGGAGTTAACGTGCTCCTTGAGGCTGGTAAACCAGGAAGTAATGTATGCGACTTGTCTTTCATGACCTCGTCAACGCGCCAATCTGTTTGTGTGTGAGAGAACCATCACCAAGACCTTCGAGTCTAGGTGGGATTGCCGTTGCGTACCGTCCAGGCGGCGGAATCCTAGGCAGTCCTAGGCGAAGTGCTTATCCAAGACTGCTGCCCATATGCCCTAGAAAAGCTAGCCGCTGACTCAGCTGGGTTCTCTGCTCAGTACGCCTCAGTGCAGTAAGACCCCCAACCTGCCCCACAGACTCAAACAGACTCAGGCAGACTCAAATGTGGCTTGATACGAACTGCAGGCTATGAGCGCACGTTGCAGCGGGTCTTGCGTGGCCTTAGCAAATATGTGCCTCGGAGCTGTAAGTCCGAGGCAGAACCCAGTAGAAATTGCACAACGCTAACAGTCACCGCTGCTGTCGCACAGTCGAGGCAGGTGGATGCCTACTTAGGCAAGGCGCGGCAAGTGCCTTTCTTCGTCATCGTCGCTTCCACAGGACGGACCGATAAGCCCCTAGACAGCTTTATCACCGCTTCCCATGTTGGCGTCGAGAATGTGTGTCTATATAACGAGCCAATTGGCACGTCGTTGGGCAAGTAGTATACTCACGTAGGTCATTTATGTTACTCGCACATATTTACAAATACTGTAGAAGGATAGTGTCAGGCAAATTGTTCAACGCGAAGATATATAGTTATTGTTTCAGTGATTGAGCGGGAGCTTGCGGCAGCCGATACCTGGGCTGCCATCTAGATGTTACCTGTAATCTGACTGTGCGTTGACCGAGCCTCACGAGCTGATCTGCGCGTCCCGGACCCCGGCTGTAAACGTCCCTGAACAGGCCAAGCTACGACAATCCGTAAGTTCTACAGTAGCTCATCCAGCGCCCATCAGGCCGAATCACCTGAGCGTGCGCCTCCGGTGGTGATCGTGTCTGTGTTGTTGTGACGTTTCAGCTTCCCGTTTGTACTGCGCAGATAGCAATGTGTTCAGGTGCTATCTGCGGCCTCACTGTATTATGCACATGGAGCGATAACCTCCCAGGCTCCCTCCCTCTATTAATCCAGGAACTTGGTCACCCCTATCGGCAGCCATGTATCCCAACATTCTCGGCGAGCCCGGATGGAATCCCATATTCGACGACGAGTTCCTAGACGATGATGACGACGGTGGTGCGGAAGGACAAGAGTGGTGGAGCGATATCGAGGCCATTTGGGGCATAGGAGGGTATGATGACGACGGCGGCTACTACTCTGGACTGGTAAGTAGCGCACTGCCACTGCAGCTGCCATGGTTTTCTCTATGCATCACAGATCCACGGATCGCCTCGCCGGGCCCTACGACATAACGTAGAGTCCTGTCCTCCAGCCGTACGGCTATCGCCAATAGACTTTCGCCATCGGGGCCGTATGGGTGGTAATGTGCGGGTAGAATTTGGTCTTCTTTTACGTGGCTTGATATCGTCGTGCAAGTCGCCCGCCCCGTACGATTATAAAGCACAGAGGACTTTCGCGTCATCTGCTGACAGCTCCCCTCTTATGTAGGCTGATGAATGACCATTCTCGCCGGACGACCCTCCTCCATGGCTGCCATGTCCAGGACCCCGCGGAACGACCTAATCTGAGGCCCGTTCCGCAACCGGCTTTGCCTTTACCTCAATACCATAGCATGGCCACGTCCACCGGTACTACGGCAGATCAGGCTCGTCATCGTCCCGTGTACGGTGGGCTCGTAGCCGACGGCAGCGGCGGTGGCGGCGCCGAAATACAGCGGTGGCAGCAACAAGAGGGTCTCCAGGCCTCCTGGGCTGGTAGCGGATATGGTGCTAGTCGCACCAGGGGCGTCCTCGTACAACGGCAGTCCCCTTTGGGAAATTTCTACCCAATGCCCGCGCAGCAACTACCGGTCCAGCAGATGCCGCTGCCGCCGCTGCCCCCGCCGCCGGAGCCGGAGCCGCACCTGCAACCACCACCGTGTGGGCACTACTCATGTAGTTGTTACCAAGGCGCCCAGTTACCGTACACGCAGCACGCAATCCGAAATGTACCGTTTTACTGCGCGAGTGCGGCACCCAACCCAGTTTCCGCTGGTTGCCCAACCTGCGGCAACACCGGACATCCACACAGCCACCTCCTGCCAGCTAGTGGCACGACAAGTCAATACTACAGCATCAACAACTGCTACACCAGCGGCGATATCGAGATGAACGAATTCGCCGCTGCTGGTGCTGCTGGTGCTGCTGGTGCTGCTGGGGGTATCACAGCTGCAGGTAGTTGCTGCCAGGCGGCTGCTGAGGCTGGATCTCTCTTAGACACGGTGTACGGCAACGCCTACGGTGCCCCTGCAGCACCTCCTACATCATGTGGTCCGCTAGGGCCGCCAGTAGCGCCGCCACCACATCACCGCGGCACCCAACACTTTCAGTTATTCCAGCAGTACCAGCAGCATTATCGCCGCCATGAGCAACAATACCGCCAATACACGGCGGAACCACAACCGCAACTGCAGCGGCGAACGGACCCGCGTAGCGGAACCGTGAACGGCGGCGTCACTGAAGCGGGTCGTGGGGTCAGCGGCGCGCCTTCATTTGCGGGTACGGCACTCTACCTGGGACAGACAAACGGGTTTGGCCCCCGTGCGTGCGTGGGGATCGTGGTACCGTATTTCTCGGCTTGGAGCCCTGCCTAGGCTGGTTGCTTTGGGGCGTGCAGGCTATGCCGTATCCAGCTGCACACAGTCATCATTTCCGCCTATTCACACCACCTTCCCTGCTGAACACAACAGATAACCTGGATCACTGGGACCGAGGTCAGGAGGGGAGGGGCAACGTGGAAGCCGGTAACGCCGTCGCTGGTCTAGCAACTGCAGCCACTGCTTCCGGCGCCGCAGCCTTTGACTCATCTCTTTCCCACCCGCCTGTACCTAGCCAGCAGCACCCGCAGCCTCAGCCGCAGCCCCTAGGTTCCACGTCCTCCCTGGAGGTCGCACCAGGTGGGCCCATGCAGGTTGGGCTCCCCACAGCGCCAACCGGGGGCAGCCCTGGGATTGGGCTGGCGCCGAACGGCGAGCAGCTGCAAGCTGCGCTGCTGAAACGACTCCGAAAACTCTCTCTGAAGCGCGGCATTGCCGGCAACAAACTTATCCAACGCGTCATCAGCGGTAAGGCTCCTCGTGCACGGAGCGATGTCCGAGGAACGCTTCGCATTCGCACCAGGTCCGCCGCCATTGATAACCCGTACAGCGGAGCCGTAAATGCTAGGGTTTGCAAGATCATCCCTTCCCAGTTGGTTCGGAGGAAGCGCGACAGTGCAAGCTCCCAGTTCAAGGGTGTCAGTCGGTGAGCGACGGATCGATCTTGCCATAGAGAGGGTGTTGTGGCCGGCGCACCGTGCATGTGTTCATGAGATTCACTTAAGCCGCATCCATCGTAGCCACGCCACGCCACGCCACGCCACGCCACGCCACGCCACGCCACGCCACGCCACGCCACGCCACGCCACGCCACGCCACGCCACGCCACGCCACGCCACGCCACGCCACGCCCAAGCAGCCTGGCCCACCCGACCTACGACTATCAGGGCTTATTTACCATTTTACACATTGAGGGCTATAGCAGTGACAGCTTGTCGATAAAACAGCAGCTTGTAACGGCCTTCTGCTCTCTCCCTCTTTGGCCCCGACCCGCCACGCCCCGGTCGTTTTCAGACACCGGAACACCAACAAATGGGAAGCTCACTTGTGGGACCCCTCGGTACGGCGCGTTGGATTCCGAGGGAAGAGGGCCTGGGGCAGGCAGTTTTACTTGGGGGCGTACGACACGGAGGTTGAGGCGGCCCAGGCCTACGACAGGGCGGCCATCGTCTTCTGGGGAGTTGGTGCCATCACCAATGTGAGTTCAGGGGGAACTAGTTTCGTCGTGCGTAACTTCAAACATCATGTTTGCGGAGGCTCCAATGCCCTGAGCTGCGGGCATGTGGAGGGCGCACTTTACCAGCGGAGTGTGCACACACGTCTTTACTTACTTGCACACACAGATGAGCGCACTACACACAGGCGTTCATATTTTCCATACCATTATCGCATACATGCTGTGTTTATGCAACGACTTTGCACAATCTATTGTGATATTGCCTTACATTTCTTCATTACGCATGCATTCCCAATGACGACGCATTTGGTTCCCAGTTCCCGCTGGAGGTGTACGGCGAGGAACTGGAATCTCTGCTACAGCTGACCAAGGAAGACCTAATGAACTCGCTGCGGCGGCGGGCCTACGGCTTCAGCCGGGGCGAATCTCAGTACCGCGGCGTGACTCGGCACCGTGCGTCGGACTTGTGGGAGGCGCGGATCGGCAATATGTTCGGCAAGAACTACGTGGTGCGTGTGGGGCTGGGTGCTTGTGAGTGGTTTGCTAGCTATGTGGGGCTGGGTGCTTGAGTGGTTTGCTAGCTGTGTGGGGCTGGGTGCTTGTGAGTGGTTTGCTAGCTATGTGGGGCTGGGTGCTTGAGTGGTTTGCTAGCTATGTGGGGTGGGTGCTTGAGTGGTTTGCTAGCTTGAGTGGTTTGCTAGCTGTGTGGGGGTTGGTGATCACCGGGCGGCAAGCTGTTGAAGGATGCGTCCTTATGTGAACCGGTCCAGGCGCGGGGACCCATATTGCGTTGCCGAGAGCATCCAAATCAAAGGGTGTATGATTCCTTAGCACGTCCCAATACTCCTAAGCCCGGTTGTTGTTACCCGGGGGCGTTTCCTAACCCCATCACCCCAACCCTATCCCCCCACCCTACCCACTACGATGTGGTGCAGTACCTGGGGCTCTTCAACTTGGAGGAGGCGGCCGCCATGGCGTACGACTTCGCCGCCCTGTACCGCGATGGCCCCACTGCCCTGACCAACTTCCATCCTGAAGGCTACTTGCACGAGACCACCGGTAGGGTAGCGGTCGCAACCGGGGTGCCCAACCTACCGACAGCAGCAAACACGGGCACACGCTGGTGCACACGGATTGTCATGGGGTTTCTTTCATTGGCTTCTACATTAAATCGTACTTGGTGGCGCGGTTCGGGCTAGTGTCGGAACCTCTGTTGTTGAAATGGACCTCTGTCTCCCCCTCCTTCTAGGTGCTCTACTTCCCTTCTCCTGGCTTCCGGAGGTGGTCAAGTCGGGATTCGCCAAGTGGCCCAAGGCGGTTCTGTCGGCTGCTGGGGATCCGCGTGCGGCCCAACCGAACAATCGCAACCAGCGGCCGGCTGCCGCAACGCCGGTGGCCGGGCCCGCCACGCCGTCCCTGGGCAAGTCATCGGGCCCTTGGTGCCAGAGGCGGCCAGGAGGTCCGACGGTGGAGGCGGCGGCAGCAGCAGCGGGCGGTGACCTCAATACTCAGCGCGGCTCTGGGGAAAATGGCCCTGCCGCGGGAACATTAGAAATCTAAGTCTTCAACCCTTCATCGGTGATGCATTGGTGAGTCTAGTCGTTCAAACATACCTGGATACGTATACATACATCTGCACGTCCTGTATGTGGATTTTTAATTTGACGCCTGGAAATAGGCTTTGGTCGCGAGTGTGAGGACGCAAAAGAAATGCCTTGCCGCCCCACCAATATCCTTCAGCTTGCCAAGCTCGCATTCAGTCCGCAAGTCCGAGATAACCGTGTATGCTGTGAAGTACAAAGTGGAACCTTCAGCCCAGATCTGCTATCCGCGTCTTCGCTAGATGTTGCTTCCCGCAGCAGCTACACCAGCTGCGGTGGTGAGGTGCGTCTTTCGCCGCGGTTGGGGCTGTTGCGCCGGCGGGTTCGCCCCCTGCCACCAGCTCCGAAACGACGAGTGACTGGCCCAGTGCAGGTAGCAGCAGCAGCAGCAGCAACAGCAGCTGGTGTCAGCGGTTCGCCGTCGTCGTTGTCGTTGTCGTTGTCGTGGTGGATATGCGAGGTAGGCCGCGTGTCGTGTATGCGCCAGGTGATCTGTGCGGGCTTGATGCTTGAAATATTTTTAAGCCTGTTTTTACTTTTTAACGCTTCTAAATGACCCCCATATAAATTTCTGCTTAAAGATTGTAAATGTAAAATTCCGTCGGTTAATTTCATAACTGTTTTTATACTCTGAAGGGTGGAGTCCGACCAGGACGGTGGTGGTGGCTCGACCTGGATGGTGGACCAGCTGCAGGCGCCGGTGATGGCGAGGTAGCGATTACAAAGGGATAAACGACGTGTAATTTCTGTGCACGTGGCTTAGTTGTGAAATAGCAGGTGAAATGATGTCAATGTCGGGCAATCGCGATGGGAAGGCGAGGTGATATGACAAATTGTTAGCGCGTATGCATCTAAAGGCAATTCTCGTGAGTCTGTGGGCAGGAAATTAATAGGTGTTATCTGCCGATATACTGTTTAGCGGAAGAGGAAAGCAGGATTGTGAGGCAAGTGCTAGGGTATGAATGGGTATCCTTTCCGCCGTGTATTTGCGGTTAGCTTACATCCTTATCGTTTTACAAGGCTTGGAATGTTGTTTCCCAGCGACGCTGGTTGTTCCCCGCTACTTGAATGTATGCATCAGCAAGGGATAGGAAATTATGCATTACGTCGTGAGGATTTGGGGAAGTCGAACGTCTGGCAGTGAGGCGCATGTAGAAACTTTGTGCCAATTCGCTCGTAGTGCGTGTAGCTATGTGGCAAGTTGCCTCTTTGTGCGCTAAGGCAGAGTAAGTACGCTGCGAGATGCAGAACCTGAAAGAAGTAGCACGCAAGCTGCACAAAACCATATGTATGTCTGTGCCGATTAAGACTAGTTTTCCTTCTTTTGTAACGGCGAAACATTCATCCACAATTTGATCCATTCGAATATATAATTTAACTGACGTCCTTCCTCGAGATGCTCAAAGCGGACTTATATGAAACGACGACTTACAGAAAAATGTATAATCAGCAGCTGAAAACCTGACCGCTACGACTATGGAGATGCTGCAGGTTTTTGTTTTGTATTCGCTGTAGCGTTCGTTCTTGCGTAATATTACATTCCGATCTTTACGCCAGTGTCTGCATCTACACTCCGATAGCACCGTCTGTAAACGGAAGATATGTCAAAACACAAGCAGGCAGGATTAACACGTCCACAACCACTTCGAGACATGCGAACGAGAAATACACATAAAATGGTACTTTAAACGTCAACTTTACGACTCCAAAGGGCAGAGATTCGGCACTCTCGGACAACCACCAGTGGGCCGCACGGACCGCAGCTCAGCTCCCCTAATACTCCCCTGCCTCAGCCATAAACACGTCGTGATCACCTCCGTCCTCAGCTCCGACATCCTTCATCTGACAGCCAACTGATACGCGATATCTGCCATGCCGTTCGCCAAGCACTCCGCAACACGCGCCGTTTACGTTGACGCACTGCCCAACCGTGCAGCGTGTTGGGATCGTCGTTCGTCCTTACCGTGTACATGGAATAAGTTTGTGTGTGCTTCACTCTATTGAGCCCAGCTTCACCGACCTAGCCTCGACGGAATCTATCACACCATCTTGGCTACACCCGGCCGAAATGCGGTCCATCAACCGCAGCCTCTACTCCACATCTACCGTGTGCACCAGCGCCGTACGTCAGAAGCTAAACCTTGACAAACCAGTATCCCTCACATTCCCGAGCCAATCTCGTGTTATTTATCCAGTCGCTTTGGCCTGTCTTAGATAGCTGCTACTTGCGCTCAGCCATCCCCAGCCCAGCCATCCGAAACCCAGCAGGACAACGCCACCCCGACCGCGGGGCGATCGGCGCGGGATTATCCCGGGAGGATAAGCTCCATTCCAGCGAACCAAACCTCCATTAACTCTTAACACACGCAACCGGTGCCAGCCAAAACATCCATCGCCCCGCATCCTCCTAACTGACGCCGGGCTGAACTCGACTCCCTCTCGAGCCAACTCACATGTCCACAGCCATCAGCCCATTGACTTCATTTCAACTCTTGTACTCCGGGTCGAAAGCCGGTGCATGGTACTGCCCAGGCAGCACGCCACGCATCTCCGCGCCCAAAGGCGCCGCGTACATGTTCTTCCATAGCCAGCTATCCGGCGGAATGGAGCCCGCCTTGGCCGCCTCAACCGCATCGTCGATCTCCTTCTTGATCTCCCGGTCCAACCGCTTGAACTCGGCAGACTCCACGCCGTTCGCCAACAGCAGCTTCTTCACACGCTCAATTGGGTCACGCTCCGTGCGCATGGCGTTGATCTCGTCGCGCGTACGATAGGTCGACCCCGGGTCCGACATCGAGTGGCCGTGGTAGCGGTAGGTGTCCATCTCCATAATTATGGGTCCGTTGGCGAGGGCGTAGGCCTTGGCGAAAGCGACGGCCTGCTTGACCGCCAGCACATCCATACCGTCCACCTTGATGCCCGGGATGTAGTCACCGCGGGTGTAGAAGTTGGGCGACTTGGCCGCGCGCCACTCTGCGGTGCCCATCCCGTAGTGGTTATTCTCGCAGACGAAGATGGCCGGCAGGTTCCACAGGCCCGCCATGTTGAGTGCCTCGTACTTCTGGCCCTGGTTGGCGGCGCCGTCGCCGTACATGGTGATGCACACGTTGGGCTCGCCGCGGTACTTGTGCGCGAGCGCGATACCGGCGCCCAGGGGGATCTGTGCACCCACGATGCCGTTGCCTCCGTAGAAGTTGTTCTTGCGGTTGTAGATGTGCATAGAGCCGCCCAGGCCGCGGGTGGCGCCCTCGCGCTTGCCCATGAGCTCCGCCATCAGCTCCAGCACAGTGCCGCCGCGGCTGACGTGCTGGCAGTGGTCTCGGTACGAGGTGATGATGGAGTCCTGGAGCGTGATGGCAGCCTCGATGCCCGTGAGCACGGCCTCCTGGCCATCGTACAGGTGGCAAAAGCCGCGAATGAACTTGGCCTTGTACATCATATCCGCCTGCATAGGGTTTGAGATAGTTGGGGCAGTAGTCAGCGGCGGTATTGGGAATAATGATAAAAAAAGATCCGGTAACGTGGGACGTGTTTGGGACATGTAACGGGAAGAAGATTTTTGTAGATAGACGTGCCATGTGGGTCAGGTGCTAGGCAGGGCCCAGGTTACACTGTAAAACTGGCAGGACCGAGTTATGGCGACGTGGCCCACGTCGCAGTCGCGGACTGCTGGGACCGCGGGTGAAACCCCTGACAGGTTAGGTGATAGGAATAAAGGGGTGTCAGGTTAGGCTGTCAGGCGGGGTTGGAAATGCTGGCGCAGGCTGTTGGGTGGAGGGTGCAAGGGTGGACGCTGGCCAGTTATCGAGGGCACACTGCATTAGACTGAGGCTTTTGGAAGGGGCCGGGCTATATTGTGAGACCCCTCTTGTAAGGCTCCTCGGTGATGTGGGACGTGAGGTTCAGTGAGCATACGTAGGTACCAGAGCCTGAGAGTTGCGGAAGGCGGACTGGCCATGCCTCTGCCAAGCAAATAGAATACCGGTCACGAAATGTACACCCATGAATATACAAGATTAGAAGGGCGAACAATCCCTCTGCGTAGCCCTGCTGCGTAACGTGAACAATGGTGCGGAAAGCCACGACACCTGGCCCCCCTTCCCATGTTCCTCATAGCCTGTACACCCGAATCCACCGCGCGCCCGACTCCGTATAATGATTTGGCACTTGAAGAATGCGCACGTGCCATACTTCGGCCCCAGACGCCTGCGAAAGAACCCAGCGACGCACCGCAATCTCCATGCGACGCATCTTGTACATAAGCTTGTAAAAACTCATCAGCTCCGAAACATTAGTTTCAACAATGTTGCTTGGTGCCTCAATGCGGTGCACCTTGAAGGGCATAACCTCAACTTTGATTGGCGCTGCTGCCGAGGCGAACATCCGTGCCACCGACATGCTTAGCTGTGATCCAGCCTGGGACTTAAGTCCCTGAATAGCCGCTGGAAGAGCCATGGCTCTAAAGGAACCTAGGCGCAATTAGGTACTCTACCAATCCGCCGCACGTGTTGGTGGCGCCCCGACCAAGCACCACAGTCTCGTAACAACTCTAATGTACCTTCTGCAACACAACGCCCATTCGACTACTGTTTTGCCTTCGGAACGGACACCGCAGGCGATTCACGACATCGTCGCACGACAGACGACACAATTTTCCGGCTATGTCCGCGTTTGCAAAGGATCCCTAACTATTTTATCGTATTTTTGCAGCAAACGTCTTACGTTACCACATGAGTAACATCACCAGTCCGGGAGTGCGACTCTCCGAATCTTAGCCAGCTTCCCCAAAGACCTCCAGCAAGTACTTGGACTTTAGCAGCTAGGACTTATGAGAGGTTGCTTACGGTAATCCTCACGGTTACCCTACCTTCCCGATTTCGCACGGTTACCTGAACCCTACCCTGAACATGCAAATAGACGTATTGCGGCACCGCTTTCCTGGTTTCCTGTCTGCGTGTAATGAGGCGCCTTGCACCTCAAAGCTGAACACAGGGATACATAAGCCGTTATTACGTCATCGATACGGTCCTTCAACCCGATCATGAGTCGTGGCACACACCACATGCATAGGATGCGGGACAAAACACAAGTCAACAAAAGACTGTACAGATCGTTGCCTTCGACCCGCTCAACCATCACCATACAAACCAGCCAGTATGGGTGCCATTCCAAGCGCTGGTGCCACGCATTATGTCCCATCTGTGTGCGGACACAAACCAAGCGCCAGGTGTGGGATGCATCTCCATGTACGCAAGAACCTACACAGCTTATCAAGGGTGACCAGCAGCCGTTACAAGGGTGACCAACAGGATATTACAAGGGTGACCAACAACCAACCGGTCAATAGCCGTACAGGCACAGCGGACTGACAGTCCTACTGCAGTGCCTTAAAACATAAAGGCACGGGTGACCAAAAAACAGCGACATACAGGTTAAGCCAGTTGGTAACCACAACCCAGGGTTTCCAGGCAAATACCTAGAGTTCCCAACCCTCCAGCAACCCTACTGATGGACAGGTATGCCACAATAACCGCTCGCGGCATGCCGCTCGGTTCGTGTGTACGGCGTCCGCACGGCAAACTCCACTGGCCCACCTACATGGGCCAGTGGGCCATGGGCCGTGGGCTAAGCAAAAGAGCATATGTCTGCGTATTATGAGCGTATTACATGTCTGCTCTCCCAACGAGCCAAACTTATACCTGGAGGAGCTGCTGCTACCTCGAAATTACCCGTGCACAGGCAACCTATGGTAGGGTAAATTGGTGAAGATAAATCGGATGCACACTCAATACGACTCTCTCATGGAACCGCTCGGGATTGCAACCCCTCTGCGGGATTGCCGTGTCCTACCTCGCCAACACACGGTGGTCCGAACATTCAAACTCGAATCTCACCACCCGTTTTCACGTTTATCACGAATCACCATCATTAACCCAAAGTTAAACACCAAGGAATATGTGAGAAGAGTGACCAACTTCTGTTGAATGCTCGCATATTGACTTCTTATTGCACACGAAGAGGGTAGGATCCCGGCTGGAATTGGGGAAGAGGGGCCACACCACAGTGCAGGGCAGGACGCGTGTTTACGTCTCTTCGTCCATGTGAATGATTGGATGAATAAATGAATGAATGAATGAACGAATGAAAGGGGTGTTACATTGTGGACGGCTTGCCGTACACATGTCGTATGGTCGAGTGCCGGGGCCCCTTAGCCAGGCTTAACCACAGCGCAAGGCGAGGCGTGCGGATATATCTGTTTGTCTGAACGAACGAATGAATGAATAAACGGGCGTTAAACTGTGAGCGGCTCGCCGTGCACACACGCCTCTGGTTCGGGTCGGTTCGGGTGGTGGTATCTTTTCGTTGAACACTTACACACACACTCACACACAATGAATGTATAAATGAGTACGGAGTACGGAGTACGGTAACCAGGCGTGTATGGTTCCTGCCACCTCCTGCCCCATGTACAGGAATCGAAAACAACACAGTACGCACGAGAGACACTTGTAAGTGCTCCCCTTACAGAGCTTCCATAAAATTCCTTGAATTCCCGCGATTCCGGATGCCTGCCTGAGAGTTTCCGGGCTGACCCCGCGATTGGTCGAAATTGCGCGGTACATGGGTTTAAATTGGCACGGGGGCTACACCCGGGACAAGTTAAATTGCCGGGACAAGCCTTGAATTGGCCTGTCGGGGTGTCGAATTGGCCTGGCAGGGACATTCCGACAGTCTGAATTGGCCTGTCGGGGTGTCGAATTGCCCTGGCAGGGACATTCCGACAGTCTGAATTGGCCTGTCGGGGTGTCGAATTGGCCTGGCAGGGACATTCCGACAGTCTGAATTGGCCTGTTGGGGTGTCGAATTGGCCTGGCAGGGACATTCCGACAGTCTGAATTGGCCTGTCGGGGTGTCGAATTGGCCTGGCAGGGACATTCCGACAGTCTGAATTGGCCTGTTCGGGGTGTCGAATTAGGGAAGCATCAGGATTTGTGCGACCGGGGCAGCCCAAAGAATCGCTCTCCCCGACCTACCCTCCTGCACACGTCACGACAAAATCTCGAGTCTCTATGCGGGCATTATACCAGCCCCTCGTTGCACAACGACTTGCTCAAACTTCCGGACTTCCAGAGCTGGAGTGGATGCGCGCACCGACCCCCAGCAGGACGAACTCCAGCAATCTCGCAGTATCTAACGCTGCGGGTCACCACCTGCATCTAGCCTTCCCGGGTAGCACCTCCCCGTGCAATCTACCCCTCACGGGGCGCGATGTTCGGAAGCAGTCTAACTAACCCAACTGACTGTGTCCTAGTGCCAGGCCCCTTGCAAACATCCCCACCGCGAGCTTGCCCAACATGTTCCCAACAAGCTCGGTGCTACAGTCATATGACGCGACACTCCGCCAACGTGCTCCATTCCCGGTGCACGCACTCACCAGTCGAGCCTTTCGCACGAATTTCCTAGCAAAACATCTGGAGCTGGAGCTGGAAACGCCCGTTTCACGGGAAAGGCCTATCACCTTCCTTTGGTAGCAAAGTACGCCCGCAAGTAGGCCTATCCTTCCGAGCTATCGTCTGGGGTGCACAACTTCCTTGAGGAAGTGGCTGCTTGCCTGAACGCTTTTATGTAAGCCATTCGAAAAAGTAAGCAGTGCAAGCAGTCCTCCCAGCTCGTGGGGATACACGCGCCATAATTTCGACATAGCGGGAATAATCCGCGTTATCTGCCGCCCTGCTACTGGACGGAGGAGCTCCTCGCGCTCATCCCCCGTGCAGGGCCCGCACATGCGCGCTCCGAACCCACGCAAAGGCCAGACCTGCCAGCAGGCCCCCGCGGGAGCTACCCCTGCCCCTGCTCCTGTCCCGGCAGGGGAAGTCCTGACCTCTGCAGGTGCTGTATCAGGTCGCTCACACACGACTCCATGTCTGGTACCAGCGAGTGGTAGGTCAGCAGCGCAGCGCGCGCGTAAATCTGAGGGAGGGACAGGACGTACAGGAGCAGTAGCAGCGGGGAAAGGGGAGGGGCAGTGCGCAGGGATCACCACTTAGGGTAATAATTTCAATCCCCTATAGGTGTTAACAAAACGTTTAATGACGCACAGGAAAAGGTTGGCTTGGCTGGGCATGCGAGCCGCGGCGGCTGCACAGATCCGTGATGGCGTTGTGGCGGCTGTAGGAAGGAGCATGGAGCATGGCCGGAAAGACGCGAGGGTGCAGAGACTGGCAGGCATACGAGGTGCTGGACGGCTACGATAGGAGAGAAAGGAAGGGCGGTGCAGTCGACACCTGTTGGGCGTTAGAGCGTCCCTGTTAGCCGCATTGCTTAGTTCCCCCGCCGTAGGCGCGTGGACAACTTTAGATCTCCATGTCAAGGAGGGTTGTCCCCTACTACACACCCGACATCACCAAACCCAGACTCGCCACCCGGTACTCGCCACCGTACCTCCCGCACGAACCATATCCACGCCAGCGCCATCCTTCGCAGGCTAAGACTACCCGGATCCTCTCACCCCCTCCCGTCCTCCCGGGTAACTCGTGATCCCCGACCCAGGCCCCGGTCCGGGCCCCACCCGCCCCGCAGACCCCCCGCTCACCAGCTTGGGCTCCATTGCTATGTACCTGCGGGGCAAAGGCGGACGTCGAGGGCGGTGAGGATCGGAAGACGGGACATTGCACCGCGCCCTAACCATAAAGGTGATACGCCCCGACGCCCCGACCCGATCAAGTGGGTTGGAGTGCTTCCATTGACCACAACGCCCTACCACGTATACACAACCCTACAGCTTTCCATCCCCCTCTCTTAGCGTGACATCACTTCTTTTTTTCCCATCATTCCATCACCATCATCATCATCATCATCATCATCATCATCATCATCATCATCATCATCATCATCGTCACCCTCGCCTGCGCCCCTACCCCACAACACCTCACCTGGCCGCAATGGCCTGGTTGGCCTGCACAGCCGCACGCATCCCCTCCGGGTCCGAAGCGGCGGCCGCCCTCGCCTCAGCCAGCACCCGCAACACGTCCAGCGGGTCGTGGGGGTCCTTCCAAAACTCCAGGTAGTGCACACCGGGTACCTGCAGGGCACAACGGGGCCGCACAGCGCGGAGGGCGCACCCAGGTTCGCGGTGGTCGCAACAAGAGCGCCACCTTTGCTAGCAATCGAGGACCACCCGGGTGTCCAGGGTGCTTATCACTGGCTGGGGTGCTGGTTGAGGAAACGCTGGCCGGCAGGATGGTGACATCAGCCGCGGCGCTGCACCGCATTCGGACCTAATCTTTGTCACTTCTCGCTTGTCATCCATCCATCTACGTGGGCAGCCATCAGTCAAGTAGCGCCTGGATGGGGCGGTTCGGTTCGCGAGCACAACGACATCGTGGTACCGTACCTGCAGTCGGCTGTAGTACTCGATGTACGGGCTCCTGCAAATCGCGGGAGTGGGAGAACGGAAACGGTGAAGGGGACGTAGGGGGACGTGAGCTGGAGGCAATGGCGTATAGTGCGGTTTGCAGGCAGTAAGCAGAAGAGAGGCGACTGCACGGCGGTGGTAACTGGTGCACTTCCGTACTTCCCATCCTCACCCACCAATGCATCACATCGCCCATCAAGACAACACCCGCTGCGCAACCCTCCCACTGCTCCCACCCGGGGCCACAACACATATCGACCAACGTGAAGGCAGAACCCCCCTTCACCTGCTTTTGAGTATGACCGAGTCTGTTGCCATGAGCATCCCCAACCGGGTGGATCCCGCCAAGCCGTCCATGTGGAGCAGGTAGCGGTAGCGGGCGTGGTCGCGAGGGGCAGTGGCCAGCGCCTGACAGTACCGCGAAACACAGACAAGGAAGCGGACAGCAGACAGACAGAGAGACAGGGAGACAGAGAGACGGCTGAACATACGGACAGGTACGCAGGCGAAGCGGTGGCATGCAGGCGCCGGACTGCAGCGAGTCATCAGCTAGTCAGCCAACAGCATCAGGCAATCAGGGCGGAGAGCGGGAAACGGTGGGTGCAGGACGTGGGAGCACAGGCTTCAAGTTCGGGGGATGGCAGGGGGCCTCGTGCGGCGGCTGCAGGGCGGCTAACATGGCGAGGAGAGGTCATATTACTCGCTGGCCCGGTCTGGCCAGCCAGAGACCGGGGCTAGTAAGGAGACGATGATGCGGATTCGACTTGGACCAGCGTTCTGACAGCAGCAGCAACAGCAGCAGCAGCAGTCGCGGCGGCAGAAGAAGTACCCGAGTGCCACAGCCTGGCAGACCCACACGCAGGAGGCGATACGGGATCGACCAAACTCGTGACGAAATTACCAGCCTTGCTAGGGGGGAAAGTGGACACCACCAATCACTCTCCTTCTCTCCCTCCCCAACCCTTCCTCCCTCCCTCCCCCTCCCTCGTGACCCTTGAGAGAGGGGGTGATGGTGGGTCTCTCATGTGGTCCCGCCCTAAGCCACGACATATAGCCACGACATACCGCGTGATATTGGGGCCTATTTGCCGACCCGCCTGCCAGCCCCACCCTACCGGCCCCCTGCCCTCCTGATCCCGAGCTTCCTGTTCGCATTTGGTCTTGTTTCGTTTGGATCCTGCTTTCCTCCCTGGCCCCTCTCCCTGCAAATCCTCACTCGCCTTCTTGAGTGACACGTCACGCTTGTACGGCCCTTGCGAGCCCAGCCTGCCCCGGAATGGGCGCACCAGCCGCACATCCAGATCGCTCCGGAACCAGCCCGCGGCGGACACGTTGGCGAGCAGGACGCGCGGGCAAATAGGGTGCAGGTCCGGGTATAGCGGGCAGAAAGCGCTTCCGCTAAAAAAGGCTGTGTGGAAGAGGCGCAGGTGGGTCCGGAAAGAGGCGGGGCGGCCAGTTTGGAGAGGGCATGGGAGGCAAGTCGGGCAGCGATAAGGTAGAGCACCTGCTGGGGGCTGAGGGTTGAGGGCGAAAGGCGCAGTGATACAGGACAGACCTTCCGAAGAAGTGGTGCCCCAAAGGAGAAAGGAACAAGATGCCCAAAAACGTCCGCCGTGCAGGGGCTGGAAGGGTGGGTCGAACAGCGTAAAAGGTTAACGCTATTCCGGACAGCACTTGACCCTCGTTCAAGCGCGTCTGTAGCCACTGGCGAGCGGACACGGCACACCCACCAGGCCTGCGGCCATAATTTCCCCCTGTCATCCCCCCAACTCTCGTCATCTTCTCCCAGTCCTCGGCCTTGCTCTATTAATAGGAACCTCCTCACATAGCCACCGCGCAGCTGGCCCAAGCAGCAGCCTTTCACCGGAATCGGGAACCAGAGATCCGTAACAGCCCCGCGGAAGGTTCCGAACCCGCCAAGTCCCACACGCGGCATGGAGCTGGGCCCAGGTCATCCTGAACTCACCGACGTCCTTCTTCTGCTCCCAGGGAAAGTACGACAGGCTACGTGGAGCCTGTGCACAAAGTATAGTGTACGGCATGTACACAAGCGTCAGCAGGGCGGGTGCGATCCAAGGGGCTGCAGTGCTCCCCGCAGCGGCATGAAGATCATGCCGTACTGCGTGTCGAGGAGTACGCGGGGCCAAGCTGCAGTTAGGCCACCTTCCGCGGGCTATCGAGTGCTTTGGCAGCACTGGCGCTCATGGCAGGTGTAATGAGGTCAGACTAAGTTGTACACAAGAAAAAAGCCACAGCGGGGTGTAAACTACTAACGAAACTACCAAAGAGGAGCTACTTTGGTGATCCGTGTGGCCTCTCCACCCATGCCTTCTAGCACCTTCCTATTGATTTCAAGCATCTACGTGCTGCGTTCTCTCCTGAGTAGGCCAGGCCAGGCCAGGCCAGGCCTTCTCCATCCCCCAAACCCCAGCTCAAAGGTGCCGTGCGGGACACGTTGTCCTCTCCCCACGCCGAACTCCCCGTCTTCTGACACAAAGGTCACAGACACCAGCAACGGAAACCCAACCCTAAAGACTCACGTAGGCTACAGTCGGCAACAACAGGTCCATGTCGTAATGCCGCCGCGGGGACTTCTTGCGGTCCACGTGCTCCGCTTGCACACCTGGCGGCAGATCCAGTGACGTCTCCGCTACAAACCGCCGCACCATGTCCCACAGCGGGTCGGGTTTCCCGACCTCTGGAACTGCTGCAGGCCTTGCAACCAAGGCCTCTGTTCGTTTGACACTGCAGCTGCTGCCATTCTTACCCGCTGATGCTGCGAGTCGCGCCACATTATACGGCAGTTGCAGCGGCTTTAAAAGCTTGCCGCCGAGGCGACCGAGGGAGGCAGCGGGACCGCCAGTACTGCTATTGCCTCGCGTCGAGGCATCTCCTTCCGAATCTGCTCGGGACACCGCCTGTTGTTTTTGTTTTTGTTCCTCCTGTTGCTGCTTGTCCTCCTGTTGCTGCCGCTCTTGCAGTTCGGTCCAGGGCACCTGCCACCACTTCTGCAGGGCAAAGGACATCCCGCATGCGTTGCTGGACGATAGAGCACACGGGTGTCAGGACGTGCATGTAGGACTTGCATGTCAGCACGGAGGTGAGGATGCCAGTTCCCTCCTTCCAGAACCCTCCTTCCCCCTAGAAAGAACAACCAATCCAGAACGCCAGGGGGAGAATGCGCGAGATAGAGATTGCAAGCCAGCGCACGCGCAGAAAGGTAGAAATGCGCTCGGCCTATAACTGCACTCGCCTGGTAGTGATGTGCGTGGGTTGCTGGGGAAATTCGCATTGCGCGCGGAGCCCTTTAACGGGAGCCTCCGATGGATAGCGCCCGCTGCTATCCTCATCCCTCCTAGCTTTCCCCTTGTAGTTCTACCCATGTCCACATCGGCAGACGGCAGTGGTAATTTACAAGCCTACGCCCCTGCCCCTGCCCCTTTCCCTGCCTGTCTCAGCTGGCGGGTCGGGCTTGTAGCCACATAAGCACTATCCACGACACGGACCTGTTCGCCTCAAGAACCCACCATCAGCGACAACACGGGCGCCCGCGAGTTGTAGCCGAATCGCTGCATGTTGTCTGCGTGGGCGGCCACATCGCGGCGAGAGTTCCGTCCCCGGGACGTGGGGATATTAAGGCAGGCGACAGAGGGCGGAATGCAGGTGCCCTGTACAAAGTCCCTGTTTCTTGGTATCCGAAAGTGCAACGGAATGACCGCCAAAGCAGATTGCTGCAACAGAGAAGGGTAACGACATGGGACTGCGAGGTAGCTCCGATCTAGGCCAGCCCGATATTTTTGGGGTTGATATCGCATGTCACTCTTCACGTCAAGGGCACCCGTGCTCGTCCTCTCATCGTTTCATCTCCTTCTTACTTGCCCTCCGTGCTTGCCGTTGACGGGTTGGGCCTCTGTACAGGGCCTGCATTTGAACAACCCCTGTTGACCTACCTGCTGCATTGATGACGAAGACCATGTCCGGCAGCCGATAGCGTGGGGGCTGCAAATAAGCTGGAGGTCGCCGGGACCTCCAGCCCTCCAGCCGTGAAGCAATGGCCTGGTGGATCAGCTTGAGCTGCATCGCCACAGCATGTCGCGGGGCGGGGCATGTTGGCGTCCTTACGGGTTGGAGAACAACCCTGTGTGCCATATGCAGTGCAACTCGCCAGTTCACACGCACGCACGCACACACACACACACACTCTATACACAGCGCGACGCTGCCACCGTACTGCTATCCAACGGCACCGCCTTGCCACAGTACAGCATTGCGCCCACCACAGTACATTCACTATGTAACCCAAATCAATCAAACACTGTCAATTAGCGCGCCGGTGCTGAGTGATAACTGACAGCACATGTAAACGTGCAGTGGATTGCTGTGTCCTGCACTGCCTCACAAGCGATACCCTTTTTGTGGCCTCACTTGAGCCTGGCATGGGGATGAGCACACGTCGGGTGAGTTTGGTGCTAGCAGCGGCCAGTCGAAGCGCGAGGGCTGGGGCGTGCTACCTCCCCTGCCCTCGGGCCCCCCGGCCCCGTCGCTGCCGTTGCCGCCGCTGCACTGGACTGGGTCGAGAAAGTGCCAGGTTTGGTTGTAAATGATCACAACACGGAGGCTGTGAAGGAAACTGTGGGACCGGAGGACACGGCGTGAATGACAACACGCGGGTTAATAAGAGGGAGAGGCAGGCGGGGTAAGAAGGAAGGCGGGTCACGCGGGCAGCCGGTAAGGATCCGAGCGGTTAAACCCCAGGGTCCAGGAAGAGAAGCAGCGAGCGACTAAATAGACGAGAACCCGTGGCCGCGAAGATACTCATGGCAAAAGATTCCGTCCGCCTTGTGGCCTTTCCGGTAATTCCCACTGAAAAAAAGAAGCCATTCTTTTCGCAATTCCCCCGCTTCCATGAAAATGCTCATAAGGTGGGGCATGTTATGTGGGGCATAGAGAGAACAATAGAAGCATGTCCCGTACTTCTGGTTTTCCCGAACCGCATCATACATGCTGTGGAGCTCCCCGACCGTGTGGGCGATGTCGTCGCACGTGATTCCGCGGCTCTTCCAATATGCCACCTCCGGGCCCAGGGCAGCCCTGCGGATAGGTTTGCAGGCCGAACTGGTCAGCACAACAGTAGAGTGCAGCGGTTGCGATGGCAACGGGGACCCCGCACGCGGCGCCATGCGCGCTGGTAGCCGACGTGAACACCCCTTAAAAACACATCAGGAACACGCCAACGCGCCGATTGTTGTTAATAAATCTCGGTGCAACCTTGCCGCGCCTCTCACCCGCGGGCCTCCTCCCACCACACACCACGAAACCCTCCAAAGCAAACGTGTGGCCACCTGGCACGCCCGCCCAAGAATGTAAACGTGCCCTTGGCTTACTCAAGGAGACCGGTTATGGTGTCCTCAACCTCCATCCACCCGTACTTGGACAATGGTATTTCCGTCACGGGGTAAGAGCCCGTGAAATTCTGAAATTGGGACCTGGTCCGTCGGGCTCGTCGTGGCTTCGCAACAGCGTGCACGGAGTCCTTGAGGCCCACCACTTGCACAGTCAGCCAGGAAGTGTATATTAACCATCCCATTGCAATAATCAGCAATTTGGCAAAACCCCATCTTCTGGACATCCCGTTACTGGGTTCGCGGAAGGTGCTGGGTGCTCCGCATCACTGGAACATGATGCATAGTACAGGAACTGCGTTATCCATGCTGACTCTAGCTAACGGAATGCGTAAACTCGCTCCGATGTGCAGTTTGCGCCATGCTGTTGAATTTTGTAGGCTAGCAGTCGTACACACTGTAAACTGCAAGTTTTCGCTCTCAATCCAGTTTCCGTTGTTGGCACGTTGTTGATTCACACCCTTCAAATATGAACCGCTAGACTGTGTAACGGATTCCTTCGGGCAAAATGGCTGAGGGCCACGATAAGTACCTGGAGACCCTCAACTTTGTGGTTAATTTTTTGCACGAAGAAGGTTTTCATAAGGCACATAACGTGTTGCTGCAAGAATTTAGCACGCGACTACAGGGTTCGGCAAGTCCGAGCGCGGAGGGAGCTATTTTCGCGACTTCGCGCCAATCCATATCGGCATGCTCCGCTCCGCCATCAACCTCCGAGTATGGAGAACGTGCTTTGGAAGCTTTGTCTCCTCCGCGTAGCAAGTCTGCTCAGGCAGGGCCAAGCTGGTAAGATTGAATGGTGACGAGAGTCTCCCCCTTCGAAGGGTGAGTACGTTATGCCATGAGCGTTTGCCTTTGATCAACAGGGAGGGCTTTCCGGGACCACCAGCTCAGCCTAAAGCAGCTTCCACAGCAGGAGCGGTTGAAAGTGCGCCACTTCAAGGAGCATCTGCAATCCCTAAGCAGACGGCAGCTAGCCCTCCAGCAGCCGCGCCAGTGCGTGCTGGAAAGAATAGAGTGTCCCGGCCTGCCAACCAGCGACATCGACGTAAGTCTGCAGGGAGGTTGAAGTGGTTGATGTCGGGGACATCTTTGACGCATTTTCCACATGCTTCATGCAGCCATCTGGGATGGTGAAGTGGACGACTATGAAAACATGGAGGACCCTGGCTACAGCAGGCGCGACGTGCCAAGCCAAGCGCGCTTCGCGGAGACTGAGTTGGATGTGTGCAGTGAGGACGGCAGTGAGCGCGCCTACTTCATGCACCAGCCAGGTGACCTCAATTACGATGACATTGAGTCAGATCAAGCCTCAGCATCTGACCCGGAGGGCATAACTGCTGCAAGCAGCGTGCAGTCCGGGCAGTATGGGGCCTTGTCGGGTGACGCGCACGACGAGACGTGGGACCTGGGCCCAACCGACATCAAGTTCGCCGAACCAGTTAGCACGCCCAGCAAGAGCCCGGAAAAGCAGGAGCCAGAGGAGCGCCGGCCCGTGCTATCTCGTGTGGAGTCGCTAAGCAGCTCCTTTAAGGATTTCGAGATGGAACGGGGCTTTAATGCAGACGGCGAGGCGGAGGGCCAGATGTCCTCCAAGGTGTCGGAGTCCGAGCACGCTGCCGACCCGGAGGTCATTGATTTCCCTGTCACAGTGGTCAATTACGAGGATGTGGAGCTGTTCCGGCGCAACCGGCAGAGCCCCACGTCATCCATGGACGTTACGCGTGGCTCGCTAGCCCCTTCAGTAGCACCTTCAGAGGGACAGGCGTCGGAAGGAGTGGGCGCCAAGGAGCGCAGCCGCCGCAAGGGATCCGCCAAAAACATGCTGCTGAAGACGTTAGCAGCAGGGTGAGACCTGTATAGGACACACGAGCTCAGCTCATGGGAGTGTGGATTATCATTGGCCTGTGGGGGGCTTCTGAAGTCGCTACGATAACTTTTAGGTGTAGCCTCGTGTGTAGGCCGTGTCCCGCACGCCAGGCCTTGCTGTCTGAGAAGTTGTCTTACATGCTTAATTGCCGGACGTTGGCGACCTTGAACCCCATGTAGGAGAAGCAATGATACCCGAGGCAGTGGTGCTGCCGCGGGTAGTGGCAGTGCAAACGCAGGTGGAGGGTTTAGCTTTCCCGTAACGCCGCCTTCAGATGAGCCGGAGCAGCGGCTATTCACGTCGTGGCCTTCAGTGCGCAGCAGTTGCACATCAGAACCAGTCGCAACATCAGACGATGATAATGCGCTGCCTGCTGAGTACGCGGATGACGGTGAGCATAACAGCAAATACTCGCTTTTGGATGCCAGGGCTGCTAGTGCGGTGTTGAGGTGTTTGGGTTGAACAGGTCTGACATTGCAGCGGGGATGTGCCAGTTTCATCTCGTCGGCATCTCGTCCGGTAGCAGGTATGCTATTGACTCCATATTTGTTGCCTGCGGGACACTCACAAGCTACGGAGAGCATTGACATCTGTCGGAACCCACTCCACTGAATATAGCGGAATTTCGTGGGCACAATGCAGGGGTGTGACCTGCATCGTACGATTGTCTTTAGGTATGCAGATCAATCGACCGTGGTACTCACGTTGCCGTTGGTTCAAATGGACTATGTTCCTGCCTGCTTGAATTCTGTGGCAACAGAGTACTGCAAGTACCGCCTAAGCAGCCGTAGCACGTCGCTGGCGGCACAGGATTTCCCTGCGGAGCGCAAAACCACTGACGGTGACGCGTCGGGAGCGCCGCCTAGCCCCGATGGGGCTTCCACCTCTGGAAATAACGCGGGTCTAGTGGATGCTGCTGACGTGGGGTTGGAGTGGGAGTTTAAGCCTCCAGTGGATCGCCTTGTCGAAGGGGAACGTGAGCCGTCATTGGAATTCTCCACACCCAATTCGGACGACGAGAGCGCAGGGACACCTAAAGCATTGAGTTTAGCTGCCAGTGCCCAGCAACCTGATTTGTGTAGCGCAGCTTCACAGGAGCCAGCGTTTCATGCAGAGGGGATTCCAGCAGAACTGGCGGCCGTGGACGCAGCGGTCACCCGGCTTACGTTGACTGGTTCTGCCGGGGCAGCATTGGTGGACGTGCTCTCGCTAGCTGTCGACGACAGCTCCATGGTGGCAGTGGCAAACGTAGCTGCGACAGGCATGGAACAGGTAGCTCAGCCTCCTCCATCTGTAGACGCCACCGAACGAAAGGGTACGTTGTCACAGGGAAACATTTGTGGGTTACCGGGCACCACGTCGTAGATTGAAGTTTGGTAACGCCTGAGCGGTCCTTTTGGGAGGCTTGGGCGTACAGAAGAGCGAAAATGCATGGTGTAACCCCGAGTCGTCAATCTGGTTAGCAGCCAACGATTGGCACGGGGCATGTGAGGTGGTAAAGCACCCGGGGACGAGTATAGGGGCGGGGGGATATCCTGCTGTTCAGCGCCTTTGGTAAGCCCAAACCTGTGCGATGATAAAACTTTGTAGATTCGTCCCAGCTGGTGGCGCACAGCATCCATTTTGACGTGGAGGAGCTCAGCGTTGAGTCTCAGGTCGGTCTGGATTTGGAACCTACTTCACAGTCGCCGGCCGCTGTTGGCCCTTCGGCCAACCACATGCGCCATGACCGAGTTCCCCACCAGCATCCACAACAGTCAGAGGGGCATGGGGTGAAGGTTCTTGGCAGAAGCGATCTTGCGGTTGCGTCCTTCTCTAAGCCAGCTTCTTATGATGGGAACGAAGCGGACGTGGATGAGCCGCTCGACGAGCAAGGCGACGACGTGGATGAAAGCCTCAACGCCATGTTCAACGAGGACGATGATGCGGCGGCGGCACATGGTCGCTTGGCGATGGCACAGGGGTACGGTATAGTTGAAACGGGTGAGCGCATCAGCGCCACGCTGTTCGACGAGCATGTTGTGCCCGAGGATGAGGACGATGAGCTAGGCGTTGGTTCGCTTGTGGGGACCGCAGCGGACGCACCTGAAGAGTGGGGCGAAGAGGATCGTCTGCGTGCATCTGAAGCCAAAGGTAAGGCGTTAGTCAGCAATCATGGCAATCACTGGCTTTTGCCAGATGATGCGAGTTTAGTCAATACTGGCTTTGCAATCTCTAACGTGTGCAGATTCGACGCGTGCCCGGCCCGACTCCGCGGTCATGCCGCGGTACCACATGGACGAGCACGGAAACGTGCTGTACGAATACGAGGCGGATTATATCGAGAGGAAGTACGAGGTGTTCGAGCTGCGCGTAATCCACCGGCGCCATCGCACCGGCTTCGAGGAGACGAAAGACTTCCCCATCCGCCTTAATGACCTTATAGCGGGCAGGTGCGTGGCATGGGAATGCATACGCAATGCTTCTCAGTACGAAGCACATGCAGCTCAATTCCACATGTGCCACGGGAGTTTCCTGGGAAACGCTGGATCTCGGTTCATTATCTTTTGGCGACGCTTTTCTCGTTTTGCCTTTTTGGGGCTCGCAGATACCAAGTGATGGATTTTCTGGGCTCGGCGGCTTTTAGCCGGGCGGTGCAGGCGCTGGACACGAAGACCGGCCAGCTTGTATGCCTGAAAATTATTAAGGTGCGGCTGCGATGAAGGTCATCTGGCATGTCAGGGGTGTCTAGGGCGTGGAGCTAGGGCGAGCAAACTTGGCTAAGTTAAGTTGGCTCATGCGCAGTGCTGACGCCCCAACGTGCTTCCTTTGATGCGCAGAACAACAAGGATTACTTCGACCAGTCATTGGATGAGATTAAACTGCTGAAGTACGTGAACTCCATGGACCCCAACGACGAGTACGCTATTGTGCGCCTGTATGATTTTTTTTACTACAAGGTTCGTGCATCAGCACACCAATCTAACATTTACCAATTGACACGGGGCGTGAGATCTGTCTCGCATACTAGGGCCTGGCATGTTGGGCAGGTGTCATCCTCCGTTTTCGGTGAATGCCGCGCAAGTTTTTCACTGAATACCCAGTCTTGCGCTTGCAGGTTGCACTCCTGTGTGTTCCATTGAGGATACCTGAAATTTAGAAATCTACAGGACATGATTGCGCTTGCTTACCTCACCTGTGTTCTGTAATGCCGTGCATACCCTTAGGAGCACTTGTTCCTCGTGTGCGAGTTGCTGCGTGCTAACTTGTACGAGTTCCAGAAGTACAATAAGGAGTCCGGAGATGAACTGTATTTCACGAACGCACGCATTCAGCGAATTGCGCGCCAGGCGCTCCGTTCGCTCGCGTTCTTGCACTCGCTGGGCCTTATTCACTCGGATCTGAAGCCCGAGAACATCCTTATTAAAAGCTACAGCAGGTAGGTTCGTTGCATGGTTTAGCGCAGCCGGGCAAGGTGGCAGGGTACAGCAGCGTGATGCAGTATTGGTTTCAAGGGTGCAGTGTAACATCGCTGTGATTGAGTTTTTACACATGGTCACTGCAGGTGCGAGGTCAAGGTAATTGACCTCGGTTCTTCGTGCTTTATCACAGACCAGCTGAGCAGCTATGTGCAGAGCCGGTCGTACCGTGCTCCCGAGGTGATTCTGGGGCTTCCGTACGATTACAAGGTGGACGTGTGGTCACTGGGCTGCATATTGGCAGAATTGTCCAGTGGCTACGTTTTGTTCCAGGTGGGTTTCGATCACTTTTCAATTAGTGAACTGTTGTCTTTTGCTTACTATGTCGCGGATATGCGAGGCCGTGATAGTCGTTGAAAACAACGCAAATGAAATTGCTTCCTTGCCATTGATTCCCCCTCGGTACTCCTCCCAGAATGACTCGCTAGCTACATTGCTTGCACGGTTGGAAGGCATTCTTGGTCCCATTCCTGAGTGGATGCTCCACAAGGGTCGCTATGCACATCGCTTCTACACGCGAAGCGGCATGCTGTATGAACGTTCACCGGCGACACATCGCTATGAGCTACTGCTTCCGAAGCGCACTTCGCTGCGGCACAGGTGGGTGTAAGTTGTGGCGCGTGTTTGCTCACCTTAATACTGAATGTGTAAGGGCGCAGTGGCTGGACCGCGTCTGCTTGCACGCTGGGACAGAATGTCGCATCTGCGTTGCTTTCGCCACAGGATGCCCGACGCGGACGAGGGGCTGCTGGAGTTTGTTTCATACCTCCTGACCGTGGACCCGCGGAAGCGCCCAACAGCCGCCGATGCGCTGAAGCACCCCTGGTTGCAGCAAGAGTACCCAACCCTGGATGGTTGATCGAGCACTAGCCCTGCCCCGCCCGATCAATATCGGGAAGGATTGTCCCTGAAGTTTCCAGCTAAAACGAAACACCTGCCTTCTGTGATGCCTAGCATGGTTCCGTGATCGTGGTTAAGAACTGGTCTTGACTGGGTTGCCAGCCTCTATAGCAACTGCTGGCAGTGGTGTGCACGTCTGGGGGCAATGTCGGAAGGCTGGCCATGGGTGATGCAGGTGTACCGTTGTGGATTATCATGCAGTGCGGGAGGTAATGGGAGGTTTTCAAAGTTGTCATGAAGCTTTGGCCCGCACATGGCCACCACTATGCACATGTGGCCTCACAGCACCTCGCATTGTGCGTGCCTCCCGAATTAGCGCCGCTGGTGGGATTGCGCACGTGTTGTTTGGATGCATGCAGCCCACATTGTCTGGATGGACCGCCGTGAGCGGAGTTTAGGTAGGCGGGTATGGGGTCTGTAGCTAAGCAAATTCATAGCTCGGCACTGTTCGCATGGACCGTGTGGTGTCTGACTTCCGTGCCTTTCTCGCTTCAAATGATGTGGAATGCAACGAACGTACAAAAAGCCTGCTTTGTTTAGGGGCGACGTGCGCGTGACATTGGGAGTTCAAGTGCCTGGCAAGGCGATCCGGTGCATTGTATGGGCTCGTGTCCCATGTATGTGTCCATTCTGCAAATCATTGTTCGCTTATCCGTCCATCCCAGACCTGTCAATAGTTGCTCGCCAGGGTGGGGAAGCACGCAAGGTACATGTTGGCACTGCTATTCGGCAATATGCAGGTGTATGCATTTGGTGTGAAGTAGCAGTGGGTGGAATGTACGCACACCTGGAGTACTGGCAACGTGCATTATTTGGCTGTGCAGCTGGCGACACAGCAGCGTGCGCATGCATCTTGGCGACGTGTTTGCTCTTTGGAGTGGGGCCCGTGTACCGTTTGAATGTAGCGAGTTACTCATACCGCCGCCCTCGCCATTCCGCCCTCCGTGTGCTCGCTCTTCAAACCTAAGAACCAGAGTCTTAGTCCATGATCGCACAGGCCCGCGCGCCCATGGAAGACTGACTACGTCTAGCGGTTCAGTGAACATGCAACTCTCAGTCGCCACTCGTCTCAACCGCCATGCAGTTTGCAGATGCCTGCGACGATAACCAGTTTGCAGCATTCACAGCCCAAATCACTGACTTTTATCCTTTGGCATTGGCGTGACTAAGGTATGCATCTATCTAGACTGTTACAGTACACGAGCAATACGACATTCATGGTAGGGCGGGGAACTGCAATTGATTAGAGACATTTATAATTTGGGCATGAGTTGGGGTTTCCAAATATCAGCAAGGTTTAGCTGGTCATACACTCAAGTCGTGCACGCCAATCCAATCAATCTATAATTTCAATATTGCGCTATCATAAGCAAGATAATTTGTAGGCCGAGCCTAAAGGCACGAAGAGCCACTCCATTTTGGCCCTGCTGAAGCTTTTCCACCAGCCATGGCTGCAGCGATGGACTTGGATCCTAAACCTCCCGAAGAGCCTAACACGCGGGGAGGCTTTGAGTTGCCATGGGTGGGTTTGCTCGTGTTGAAGCTGGTGCAACTTTTTCCCGCGCTAATCCTTCCCATCCACTGCCGGTGCTTCTCAGTTGGAGAAGTACCGTCCGCAGTACATCCACGAAATAGTTGGCAACATGGAAGCTGTTGCACGCCTTCAAGTTATTGCGGAGGAGGGTAACATGCCCAACGTCATTCTCGCCGTAAGCTGCTAGCTCTGCAAAGCCGACGGTGATTAGCCACCCATATTGCGTGATTCAGAGATATACTCAGTACTATATAGCCAGCCTCGTCAGGATTGGTTCTTTTCCTGGCTTTCCTCGTCACTGGGTCACAACCGAACGAAAATTCCGTTACAACCCCACAATGGACCTACGTACAGGGGCCCCCTGGGACGGGTAAGACGACAAGCATTCTATGCCTCGCACATCAGCTGCTGGGGCCCACCTACAAGGAAGCCGTGTTGGAGCTGAATGCCTCGGATGACAGGTGCAGCTCCTGGGCATGAATCGCCGAGGGTTTAGCCCTGAGCCAGAGCACGTACTATTAATGCAAACGGTTGCGCGGTTGGGATGCATTTCCGCATGAGCCTAGGAGGCATCGAATACAGACAGAAGTGGGGCCGAATCTATCGAGTCTCAATATGCGGTAACGGCGTTAGGATCACGAAACCTAGGCCACGTGGCCTTTCCACGCGTGCAGTTCGAACCCGTAGATTGCCTCCCTAGGGACGCTCCAACCCAAGCCCCCATTTGAGCCTGTGACCGGTCTGTCCATCGATACGCAGAGGCATTGACGTGGTACGGAACAAGATTAAGATGTTCGCTCAGAAGAAGGTCACGTTGCCTCCGGGCCGCCACAAGATTGTCATTCTGGATGAGGCAGATAGGTGAGTCGTTGACAGCGGGTACATCCTTCCTAGGCTGTTTTAGTCATGACAATCTTATTGTTCATGATTTATTATCACGAATCTCGCCAAAAGATGCCCAGAGCCCATAGCTTTAACCCTCCTAAACGTGATGGCCCCTGAGCCCACTGTCGGTAATAGGAACGCCTGCGCCTTTGCACCTGGCAACGGCGGCATATGGCTCCGGTAGACGGCTCTGGGCCATTGCTCAGCGGAGGTTTGCGGGTGGATATCATGAAGTGAGGCTTTTGATCCGCATGTATAAAAAATAGGAGGCCGAGGCTTCAATGCGCCACCAGCTCCATAAGCTCACGCGCATCTCCCTAGGTAAAAGGCAATTAAAAAATTATGTACCTGATACCTGATTGTGCTCCGCCATGTGCCTCTCATTTCTCTTCTTCATGCCGCCAGCATGACGGCGGGGGCTCAGCAGGCGTTGCGCCGGACGATGGAAATCTACAGCAATACCACGCGGTTTGCACTCGCTTGCAACCAGTCGTCCAAGATCATTGAGCCAATTCAGTCGCGCTGCGCTATCGTTCGCTATAGCCGTATATCTGATGTCGACATTCTCTCCCGTTTGCGCTTGGTGTGCGAGAAGGAGGGGGTGAGTCTGCCAGGCTTTTCCAATCCACATTTGGGTTTAGGGGAGTCATTCCATATTCTTTCGCTGTCGCTGCAGCCTTCTGCGCTGTTTAAATCATTTACCTGTTTGTCTGCGTCCCTCTATTGAGAATGCCACATCGGCTCCCTTTCCCGCGGTGCCGTAGCTTGAGGTAACCTTTGCCGGTATCCTGATCTCTGCTTGTACAGGTGACCTACAACGACGAGGGCATGGAGGCGCTGATTTTTACCGCAGACGGTGACATGCGGCAGGCTCTCAACAATCTGCAGGTGCATGCAACCGCTGAAGGGGATGCATGATTCGTTTTGTGATCGAGGATTGAAGTCGTGCAGTGCATGAGGAGGAACCCTAACGCTCAGTCTTCTTTCCCATGTTTACTCTGCGTACGTCCTATAGAGGTTTGGCTAGCGCATTGCACTCCAGGATGTCGCCTCTGACCAAGCGCCGCCTGGTCTGCTTACGCCCTTTACCCGGATACCTCAAGCAGTGCTCTTGAGTGCGGTCCCATCAACCTCACCGCCTGGACTGCACCTGCCACTCCGTCCTGCAGGCGACGCATAGCGGCTTCGGCTTCATCAGCCAGGAGAATGTCTTCAAAGTTTGCGACCAGCCGCACCCCAAGCTGGTGGGCCAGGGGGCCGCAAGGCAGCGAGGGTGGCAGACCTTTGTAGTGCTCGAGGCACATTTCCAGGGGGTGTGCTGCTGGGGGAAAACCGCCATCCCCAGTCCTCTGTACTCGGGTTGATCCCTTCCCTGGTGCCCGAATGCAGAATGGCTACGATTTATGGTCGCTTTAAAGTCTTGCCCGCCGTTTTTAAAGCCCATCGGCCTGAATAGACTTCGTTGCCAAATACCGCTTGCACAGGTGATGTCTATTATTGAAAACTGCAGCAAAGCGGACCTAGATGCGGCATACGCGGGTCTTAAGGTGCGCTGTGGTACCTATGCTTCCCTATGCTGATTAATCGTTGCCTGCCAACCAGTACAGCATTCTGCCATTCACTCTCTAGCAGGTCAGGTGTTGATGCCGACCGCGCGGCCACAGCCCATAGCGCCTGTTGCACCAAGCATATCACTATCAACAGAATAATTACGGTTGCGGCAAAGCAATTGACTAATGCGCGCGCATCCCGTTCTTGCCATTTAACACCAGATGTTGCCTGCGTTCGTCATTTCTTGGACCTCCAATGCCACCTGTTGCCTTAGGCTTTCCGCATTAAGTGGCCCCCCGTCCTCATCCTGCTTAAGCAATACAGCAAACTACTGCAGATTCCCTCAACCCATGTCTCTCCGCCTTGATTAGAGCTTCACCTTCCTGGCCTTGTGTTCCCAGGGATTGGTGGACCTGGGTTACAGCTCTCATGACATTATCACCACCGTCTTCAGAGTGGTTCGCAACGCGGACATTCCTGAATTTCTGAAGCTAGAATACCTCAGGGTGCGCCAGGGTTTTGTGAGATGAAATACCTGGTCTCGCATGCCCCCTGGGTAGTGTGTCGGGGACGAGTAGGGTTGGCACGAGAGGCCAGGGATCACCGATATAAAGGGAGTATAGTGCGGAAGACGCACTTGACCTAGAGGCCTGGAAATGTTGGTCCTTATTGGGGGGGCGGTTTCTAATCCATCTGCGCCAATACAATGCCCCTTGCGCAGGAGGTCGGCTTCTGCCATATGCGCATTGCCGAGGGCGTCAACTCTCGGCTACAGCTCAGCGGGATGCTTGCCAAGTTGTGTTCGAAGACGTTAGCTGTGGCATAAGGCTCAATTTGAGGAGACTCCAACTGGTCGGTTGGACGGTTGCTGCGACATCCTCGTCCTGTTACGACAGCGTCCGGATTTGGATATGTAGGATTCTGAAGGCCCATATGATAATTTATTGATACCTACGTAACTACACATGGTGGGATGCATGGCTTTTCCAAGGCCTCGTGGTTTCGAATGGAAACTTTCCATTGAGCGGCAGCTTGCAAAGCGTACTCTTTGTAGTCCACAACGCAAAAAGGCTCTTTGCATAAATAAAGATTGTAAATAGTTGGGATGTTGCCTACTAGTGTATTTTGGGGGTTGGGGCCGCCAAATCTTGACGTAGTTTTCAGCGGCCTTGAGCTTGAAGTCCGAAGTTCTGTAGAGGAGATAAGGAGCCTTGAGCAAAGTATTGCCTCTCTTGAAGAGGAATTGACGGCTACCCTTGGGCAACGGGATAATACCTTACGCGCGATGGCGACATTAATCTTGGAGCCCCCAGCAGGCGCGCCTACTGAAATCAGCATGCATATAGAAGGCGATGCTCCACGGACTGGCTTTGCGACGGCCGATATCGTAGCTACAGCTGCTGTTGCAGTTGCTCCAGCCACCGAGCAGCAGTCGCCAGTAGACGAGCAGCACCCCGTTCTCCCTCGATCGCTGCCTATCCAAGGCGACGGCCGAGACCAGGTTCCATGTCGTCGTGAAACCACGGACAGGCAGCCAGACGAGCTCATGGGGCCTGGCGACCCCGCACTTGAGCAGAGCGTTTCTACGCAGTTACCCAACACTGTAGCCGCTCGTCGCGATGAACAGCTACATAATGGGGCAGAACCGAACCCATCATTGAGCCCCCCGCCCTTGGGTGCGGATGATATGAAGAAATGCCTGCTACAGGTGCTTCGCCATCTGCGGGACACCGCCGCCTGCTGCCGCCAGATCCCCGACCTGGACCGTGGCTTCTCCAACTTGCTCAAGAAAACTTACAAGGAGCTCTATGACTCTCTTAAGGAGTTGACTTCCAAAGGCTCCACTAAGCCAGGACCGCCAGGGACCTCTAGTGCAGCACCACCCGCAGCCAGTGGCCGCGGTCCAGAGACCCCACCGGGCCTCAACCAGTCGCAGCAGCCCCGTACCGGCACCACGCCGCCGCCCCCTGATGTCAGGTCTCACGTTGCACTGGCGGAAGCTGCTCTGGTGGGGTCCAGTGCCCAGACGGCGGCTGGACTTGCAGCCGGCAACTCTGCCAGCTCCCAGCCGACCAGTGCCCGAGACCTAAGCGCACTTGCGCGCCTCGTCCATGCCAAGAGGCTGCACCAGCAGGCGGATGGTGCCGCCGCCTCACGTGAGAATGACCACCCGGCCCCAAGACGCCCCGCCAGGGTCCCAACTCCAGCCAGCTCCGCCTCGGGGGCTGCCAGGCTGGCGGCACTGTACGACGGTCTACCGCCGGCGCGTGTAGCGACCGGGTCATGTCAGGGAACCCAAGCGGCGATGGACGAAGCTGGGCAGGTCCCGGCGGTGCAGCAACCGGCGGCGCCTGGAACAGCTGCACCCACCGGTCCGGGCTCCCAGCAGGCAGTAGCTGTTTTGGATAACGCGGATACAATTACGGCCGATGTGCCGGCCATTCGAGACCATGCAAGTTTGGAGGGGGACATAATACCTTCACGCGGTGGAGGTCCTGCTCACGAGGGCGGCACTGGTTGTAGCAGCGTCGGTGGGCAAGGGGGCCTTTCGCAGTGCCGAGAGCAGCCGCCGGGCAATAGTGGTGGCGGCAGCCGCAGGTCTTCACAGCAGCTGCTGGAGCAGGCCAGGGCTTCAGGTTCTGGCTTAGCGCGGAGCCTTCTGCTCCATACCGCCCAGCCTACAAGCGCGACGGCGTCCGAGGGCCCAGATCCGCCGGTGGGTTCCCACCCTGTGCCTGCTGCCGGCGTGGGATGTGCACCAGGGTCGGATGATGGGCCTAGCGGGGAAGGTCCCTGCGTCGGAACGCGAACGCCGGCATACGGTACTGATCCAAGCGCAGCTGGTGGCGGCGGGGCTGGGGCCGGGGCATCGGCTCTGGTGGGGGAGCGTGCCAAACGGCCATGGGAGCCCGGCAGTGCTACCCCTGAATCTTCAGCCAGCAAAAGGAAGCACATTGGAGATGTGCGGCGGTCCCCTCAGACGTAAGGGTGCATTTGCGACATGGATGCAGGTTCCGTTAGCGCTGTGTTCATTCTGCTGCCGTTATGGCAACTCTAAAGCTTTGGTTGGGTTCGTTTAGTAGTGTGGTCAGGGCGAGAGTAAGCAGAGCACTTGTCCAGGAACAAGTCGGATCCACGGCGACTTCGCTGCCTGGTCATATGAAGCGCCCCGCAGCTCCGGTTGCTCTTTTTCGCAGCGCCCCGCAGCTTCAACGTGGAGTGTTCTAGAATGTAGTGCGCCAGAAGTGGTTGCAGGACACGAGCTTATGAATCCATCAATGACGTATGAGGCTAAAAATGCAACAAGGAGCCATGAAGTGTTTGCTGATGAGAAACGAGCGGGTTGGGAGCGGGTTGGCGCGTTTCCCTGCTTGATGATGGTATGCAGGGCAAAAAGGATGTCCTGGGCCACAAGAGCCCGTGCGCGTGCATAGGTTGGGATAGTAACAAAAACGAGCACCGTTGATGCCTTAGCCTGGCACTGCAGCCTGCAAAGCTTTATCCTCACAGATTTTAGTGATGCTGGTCGCAGGGTCTTAGACCGCCGCACGGCTTAACCTTGCAGGACCTTGCACTGGGACCTGTAGGGTCCCACAGTGCCTGTATATGCGAAAAAATAGCCTTCAGAAGGATTTTGCTTTGTAGTCTTGTGGATTTTTAGGACTGTAAGCTCTAGGTGGTTTCATCTGCAACACGTATAGGGTTGCGTTTCAACCATCCTAGCAGTAAACCTTGTTCGAATTACAGTTAAGTAGCAAGTCCCTCTCTAGCACAGCGCTGCAACGGTTTTTTAATAAAAACACAACGTCGAACAAAGTCGACTTTCCGCAACTGGGTTTCGATGCTCGTGTGAAAGTTGTTGACCGCCTGGATTGCCATTTGCACTCCTTATAGTAACCTAAAGATACTGACGTAATATCGGCATCGTATGTTGGGGACCCGGCTTTGTTGGCGATACCTTTACTGCGGACTCAAAGTCGAAAGGCCTACGAAGAACCCGCAGCAAAAAAGCCGTGTTAGATAACCTGATGTTGAATGATTCATCTCCTTGCATTGTAAGAATGACGTCGATGTGACAACGCATGAAAGCCTTTTGTAGTTGACGTGAAACTAACCGGAGCGTTTCTTATGGAGAGGCTTCTATTAAGGATTTACGTGAAAATGGTTGACGATTTCGGTGGATGATTAAAACAACTTTTTCGTTGTGACGCTTGCTGACATGTAGATGACACACGTAGCGTCGTAGGACCGGACGGAAAGTTGCCGTGCATACATAAGCTGCAAGAAGCCGATCCATACCATAGCATTTATGTTCACAGTCATTTTTGGGATTCTATACAAGATTGCAAGAAGGATATTCTTGCCGCGACCGTTTACTTTCCGGCCAGCTCCAATTAAGTACAAGCCCTAAAGGTCCACAGAGCACGAGGACCTGTTCACATAGGGGGTGGTCAAAAGACAATTTCTCTAACCTTGCCCCTGCTGCTGCCAGCTTCCGTGATGGCTTCTCGAGTGGCTGCCGAGGTCGCGACGGATGCGGCACTCATTGGTCGGGTAAGCTTGCCCTGTATGATATGTATTAACACATGCCACTGCCCCCAGGGCGTTGGGGACCTAGTGGTCTCCGGCAGGTCTATATGTCCTGTTTTTGCGCAAGGTTGTCGACCTGATCTTCTACTGGTTCTTTCTGACCGCAGTACTTCGGTTCTAAATCAGCTGCATCAGTGCTGTCGCGGGCAACGGCATCTGCTGGCGCAGTAGCGTCCCAAACAAGGGGCACCGCCAGCAATGCCGAAGGTGAGAACTGGAGTCATAGCTAACGGCCAAGCTTAGCTTGATCGGTCCAAGACGCTGCCGGTGCCTGGTGGCCAAGTAGGGCTTTCCAAGGACAGTGGCTGTTGCAACATCTAGCTACGTTAATGCTAGAGCTCATTATACCTGGTCTGGGCTTGCATAATGGGATTATGTATGGTAATTGTCCCCTGCTGTAAATGTTTAAGTTGGATATATGGACTGGGGTTTCGTCGCAACCTGCAGCTAGTACCTTTCATCTTCAGCTTGAGCTAGACGGACCATATGGAATGGCTCCGAACATATTTGTATACTGTCAGCACCAAAGATTGTCAAACGTCCTGAATATTTTACTTTGCGTATTTCGACTGTCTTGTGGTTCTTTTGCTGTGATGGAGTCGCCACCATCGCTGACATTGTGAGATCGTATTTCAGTAAATCCATCTGCGAGTTTCCCACATGGCCTATTTATAGTCCCTGCTCACTTTTATCGCCCCCCTGATCGGTGTTACCGCGCTCACAGCTGACGGCTCCGGCACCCGCTTGACTCCCTCTGGCGGCACCGCCATGTCGGCCGTCGCCAGTACCGGTGGACCCGGGTCCGTGCGCTTCATGTCCATGTTCGGTCGTAAGCGCGGCGAGGATCCCATGCTCGCGGAGCTGGTCGCCAAGAGCTTTTGAAAACCTGATCTTTTTTCCGAAATGGCCCCATGGTGTCGCTGGTACATGTGTGGGCGCAGCTGGCTCAGGGAGCGTGATTGCTTCTTAAGGAGAGCGGCTCCATTTGCTTAGTTTTGACGAGTGCTCAAGAGTTCAGAGCGCGAGGAGATTGCTCATGGCTGCGGTGTGAAGAATGACATTCTGGGTCTCGCAGGTACACTTGACCTGCTGGGGTGGTGGTGGGGTTTCGTCCACAGCTGGGCATGAACCTCAGGCTCCCGGTGGAGAATGATTATTCGCTTCGGCGAGATGTTGTATGATTGGGCGGCTTGTTGTGGACCTCAAGCCGGACCGGCAGGCCACCCTGGGTGTATTTTATGATTCATGGCTTCATTACGAGCGATGTGGTTTCTTAAAATGGCGTCATGCACTGACGGGCGTGCGGCCTGAGGAGCACGTGGGGGGCTGAACTCCGCGATGATGTTGTTAGTGATGGTGATGGTGATGGTGATGGTGATGGTGATGGTGACGGTGACGATGCGACGAGCGGAATTAGTTTGCGTAAATGAGGCTGGCAGCGGAGGAGTCCTAAGAGGAATAGAGCCCGCAGGAATTCGCGGAATGTCCTTTCAGTGTGCTTATGTTAGTTGTGAAGAGGTTAGGCGGAACGTCCGTCGGTGCAGGCCGTTATCTGATGGGCCATTACTTACATCTACAGCATTAGGGTTAATGGTTACCCGTTTCTTCTGCGGTAGTTGCTGCGTGGGGTTTGGGCGGATTTACGTAATTCATCGTTAAAAATGTCTCCTACATGGTTGGAAGGATCGCTACATCATCCTGTTATGCGCCTGCTGGAGTTAGTATTCAACTTTCTAGTCCGCATAGGCTTGCGGGAGCCTAGGTTGGGTCCAAATTCGATTAATGCACCTAAATTGGGTGCCGCGTTCGTGCCGTATTTGCTGTTGTTTCATAATCCGCCTTTGCGGAAAAAACTGTTTCCTGTGCGGTTGGGTCGTTGTGGACGTGGCATTGTCCCTCCCTACCTTGTGTTGGGTGTTGCCCCCAGCACCCCCATGTGGTGGTCGGAATTGCGGCTGTGTAGACTTATCGTGGCGCACAGGTGTACAACGTTGGCGCTTGCCTATGGAGTGCCTTCAATTTGCACGTTGTTGCTGTACGCGCACTCTAGCTTTGATTTGGACCCTCGTTGCTCCCCGCACGGGGCGGCATGGTACGCTGTAACGAGTTAGGATGGTTTTCATACTAAGCCCACCTACCGTACTGTATTGGGGCACAGCTGCGTCCCCAGAGGGCCGACGAAACAAGGCTTGCCGACGTGCCGAATGGCATCATGTTTGGTTCCAATATAAGAAAACGCAGCCAGCTTGGACACCTGCCCATCGCCCGTAGTACCCACTGCACCCACTGCACCCTACCTGCAACCCACCTGCCTGATAGGTCGCGGAATGGCCCATTTCCGCTTATGACCAGAGGCGCTCAGAATCATGAGCCTCTCACCAGAAGAGTGAATGTTGTGACATAGATGCGACATCCATAATAGGATGTGTACTGTATTCTGTATACTAAGTACCAGTGCGCACGACTACTAGTCGCATGTCCTGGTAACGTAATATTGCAAGGAATTTCAGGGCTGTAGGTCTGACCTGTGGGATGACCTTTTTCGACACCTCCTTTAGCACCCATCATAAGCGTGTACAGCACTAGCGTAGCTGTACAGCCCCATGGGTCACGCTGACAAAGCTATTTGACCTATACCAAGAGTTTAGAAAGAAATATTCATGGCTGAGTTTCTATTACTACCTACGTTCAGGTCTGGCTAGAGTCGAGAAGCATCGTGGTTAACTGTCACCACCACCTGAAGTGCAGGTCGCTCGCAAAGGCAAGTCTCTCGTTACAAAAATTCAAAAGAGTCATATTTGCTTCTGAACAATTGGTTCGCACTAAGGGTTTCTTGTCGTCCGTCTTTCCCCCGTCGTAGCACGTGGAGTTCAATTCCTGTCGTGCAATAGACGTCACATAATATCGCTCTCCAGTGACATGCAGACGGCCTCTGTGTATAATTCTCATTATAACGCAGGCTTAGAGCTGTTGCCTTGCACAATCTGTCGGCACACCCTCCAACGCACGATTAGTGCAGAGTCGTGTGTCGTGACACTGGTTCTCGGCAATTGAGCCTTTGTTGCAGCATGGCCTACCAACAGCTGCAAGGCTACAGGGTTGCTGGTGCACCTCCGGTCAGCCGGCAATTTGCTCCGCGTGTCGGGTCTGGTCGCCGCGCCCTTCGTGTCCACGCAGTGGCAGAGTTGGATAAGACAGCTCCAATCGTGAGGGGTGGCACCTCATCCGTGCCTGCCCCTGCCGATATCGCAAATAAGCTGCGATATCTTTTCGGCCGGAATGGGGACTACACAACTGCTGACGCTTACCAGGGAACGGCATGGAGTGTGCGCGAGAAGTTGATCGACTCTTTCAACAAGACCCACGAATACTGGAAGTGAGCCGTTCATGCGTGAAGGGTTCCGGTGCAAATTTCGTCGCTACCAAGTCTGACCATGGAGGCGTACGTTTCTGTTTTTAAGTAGCCGTTTCTATTTTTAGCATTTGTTCGTCACGTAAAGGACGCTTGGAAAGGGCGTTCCCCGCTCCTCGATCGCCTTCCCGAAAGGCATGCAATTAAACTCATCGCGCCTTGCACTTTGCAGGAAGGAGGACCCCAAGTTTGTTTACTATCTCTCAGCTGAGTTCCTGATGGGGCGGTCGCTGATCAACACTGTGTACAACTTAGGTCTCGAGGGTGAATATGCGGAGGCCTTGAACCAGATGGGATACGAGATGGAAAGGGTCGCGGATGCTGAGCGTGACGCTGCTTTGGGCAACGGTGGTCTGGGGCGTCTGGCGGCATGCTTCTTGGACTCCATGGCGACGCTTGATTTGCCGGGCTGGGGCTACGGCATTCGTTATAAGTATGGCATGTTTAAGCAGGTGAATGGAAGTGGAATGCAAGATACCAACGAAGCTGTCCTGAGCTGGCCGGGCCCACGGGGCGCGAGGACGTACAGATGCCGTCTGAAGCACGCCTGCATGGCACTGAGCAGAGAATCAGGACAGAATAGGTATCGAGCCTCTCATGTTTGACGAAAGCATGAGGTCGAAGCTAGCAAAGAGCGCATCCATGGGCGAGTCTTGGCCCCGGCTCCTCTTCGGTATCCGAAATCCCTCCCAAGCCCCCGGGCTCTCTTTCAAGAGTCGGCACCTACCCTGCTGACGGGCGTTCTGCGTTGCCCTCAATCACATCAGTTCCCAATGGAGAACAGTCACACGATGCCCTTGCAGCGACGAGCGCGCCCAACGCGTTCCGTCACTTTCACCCCCAAACTCACTCACCTTCCGTCGTCGTCCTTTAACCAGCAATCAATACGGTTAATCACAAGAGACGAATTATGGCGTTGCCGTCCTGTCATGCCAAGCCCGATAGTCCCTACCCAGCGCTGCAATCTCTGGAACATCCTCTTCTCCCTTCATACCCTTCCACCACGCACCTTCCATACCCCTCTTCCTCGCCAGGCTCTTAAAAACGGCTACCAGGTGGAGCTGCCGGACATCTGGCTGACCAAGGGTAACCCCTGGGAACTGCGGCGCGACGATGTGAAGTACGAGGTGGGCTTTGGAGGCCGAGTGGAGCGCCGCAAGCAGGGCAGCAAGGAGGTGACCGTGTGGACACCCTCGGAGCGGGTGAGTGAGGGGCGTGTAGGTGGAACTGTAGGCAGTGATGGGTGTGTCGGTATGGGTCGGGGTAAGGGGTTCGGCCACCAGTGTGTGTATGTTGAGACTGGACGTGTTGAGGCGGGCGCTGCGAAGTGAACAAGACCCTTAAAATGGAAGAAACTATCTGTGGGATGGGCCCTCGTACAGCGTTAAGGAGCAAGCGATAGATGGCGGTGCTGTGGTTGAGGATCGGGCATTTGGGTTGCTAGGTAACGTGCCAAACTGTCGTTCACTGCTTCGCCGCTTGCATGCGGTTGTTCAACGCAACCGGGAAGCTGGGAAGCACACGGTGCGTGGGAGAGCCCCCGGGTGGAAGGGTCCGTTGGTTAGCACCGGGAAACACATCTGCAGCGTGACCCCATTCCGCAATTACAGGGGTGTGTAGCGGTTGGAGAAGGTCAGGAAGCTGATGGCTCTGCCTCCCTGTTACGGGGCAAGACTATCGGCGTTGACTTGTCTCTTCTCGTTCTGAGTGAGAATTCACGCTGAGCGTTTAACGGATTAAGTCAAATCCTACATGAAGTGGGGGGCCTGGGCCGGCCGCCTATCTACTGTGTATGCATTTCATACACGGCGCAGCACTCACTACCGCTACCTTTCCCTGCTTCCGCGTCCTAGGCCCCTATGGAGCCCCTTCAATTGTCAAATGAACGGCACACACAAAAAAACACGCCTGACCGTTTCCGACTCTTAATTGCGAGATATGTGATTGTCATGCGCGCAGGTCATTGCCCAGGCGTACGACAACCCTATTCCCGGCTACAACACCCCGACGACCAGCAACCTGCGGCTGTGGGATGCGGTGCCGGTGACGGAGTTCGACTTGGGCGCTTTCAATGCGGGAGACTACGACCGGGTGTGTGGGGTAGCTGATGCTGCTGGTGCAACTACTACTATTAGGTTAGGTGGCTGAAAGCTTCCTTGGCATGTTCCTGTCGTTGCTGAACGCGTTGCCGCTCCTTTGCCGCTGCTTATCCCGACAACTAACCTGCATAAGCTCTTTTTCCCATCCCCACCCCCTCGCCTAACCCTAAGTATCCACCACCTGTCCTCATGGTCCCTCTGTGTGCAGGCTATGCTGGAGCGCGAGCGTGCTGAGGGCATCAGCGCGGTGTTGTACCCCAACGACTCGACGCCCGAGGGCAAGGAGCTGCGGCTCAAGCAGCAGTACTTCTTCGTGTGCGCCTCGCTGCAGGTGAGGGGAATGGGGCAGGGCCTGGATCTTGCAACCACCTCAGCTGGCACCGTACTGCGCAGCCGTAGATGACGTGGGAGAGTAGTGAGCACAGGGCCTGACTAGTCCCGGGGCTGTCCCATTTCACGGTGAGATTTTCATCCTCGGCGCCCTCCATCCTTGCTCTTCCGGCCCCCAGGATGTTCTATCGCGCTTCAAGGCCGTGCATGCCACTGACTTCAATTTGCTGCCCGAGAAGGCGTGCTTCCAGCTGAACGACACGCACCCCACCATTGCGGTGGCTGAGCTGATGCGGCTGCTGGTTGATGTGGAGGGACTGGACTGGGACCAGGCCTGGACCATCACTACTAAAGTGAGGGGGCACATGGCAGATGCCAGATGCTCTTGCTTGAACGGGAGTGTGGGTATGGCATGGCTGCCCTTACATGGAATGCAGATGGGTATGGCCACCTGTGATTTCCATTGCTCTCTACTGTGTCGTCTTACTACTCGCTGGCCTCTGTAATAATGATAATCTCGGCAAGCTTACTGCCGCCCTCTACGTTGGCCATCCGCTTGCAGTGCCTCAACTACACCAACCACACCGTGATGCCAGAGGCGCTGGAGAAGTGGCCGGTCAAGGTGATGGCCAAGATGCTGCCGCGCCACATGGAGATCATCGAGGTAGGGGAGGACCAGTTAGGTGACTGATTGGGTGGCGCGGACTGGCACCCGCCCTTCGGCGCTTCCAATGTTGCTCGTGTGTTGCAGGGGAGTACGAATGGGCAACGCTCCTCTTGCATCTGCACGTCTATCTTCAACCGTGGCCGTGTTACGTGTTTGGCTTGCCGATCCCAGTGATGGGCAGGGGTGGCCCGAATGTGCGTTGTACCTGACTCGGCGCAATTCATAGGGCCTTCACCACTTACCTGAGGTTATTTAAGGTCCTCCCCCTTACCTGGGGCTGCAGGTGATCAACGAGGGGTGGACTAAGTGGTTGGCGGGCCACCTGAAGGACCTCAAGCCCGAGGAGCGAGCCAAGCGTGTCGCGGCCATGTCGATCATCCACGAGAACCCCTGGAACAAGGACGAGATGTGAGGGGGGCCTGCGGGTTTGGGCACGTGCACCTGTCATGCCGTCCCCAGTGGGACCCATGCCATCCAACACTCCCGCTTTCTGTTGATGTTCCCTGTCTTTTTTACTCCCTCGCCTCCCCGCCTTCCCTTGATCATGTCCTGGACATTCTTGCATGCGCTTTGGTGCTAAAACTTCGTGTTGTTTCATCGTCGCTTCCTTTTGGCCTCCTTTGCCAGGTTGGTCAACATGGCCTACCTGGCTGTGGTGGGCTCCTCTGCCGTCAACGGAGTGGCGGCTATCCACTCCAACATCGTCAAAGACGAGATCTTAAACGATTTCTACCAGGTGGGCGAATGTTTGCAAGTTGGGGGCTGCGGGAACGGGCGGATGGGGACAGCCGTGCTTCTGTCCTGGTTTCGGAACCACAATTTTTCTTTGCATGGAAATCACCGTGTTGAGCGGTCTCTTTAATCCGTTTTGTGTCGCTGTTCTCGTTACCTGCGAACCCACTCTGCGCGCGCGGGGGTGTGCCACTTGCTACCACCGTAGATCTTTCCGTCCAAGTTCCAGAACAAGACCAACGGCGTAACCCCCCGTCGCTGGCTGGCATGGTGCAACCCCGAGCTTGCGGCCCTCATTACTGACGCGCTGGGTACTTCGGAGTGGTGGGTGGTGCCCGGGTTGTGAATGGATGGAGGGCGGGGAATGTGAAAGGGACAGTGGTCTTTATCTAGCGCAAGTGGAGATCCATGGGTACGTAACACTGTCTCGTTAATCGATCAATTCGCTCGTCACATTAATCCCTGCAGGATTAACGACACGGAGAAGCTGGCGGGTCTGCGTGCCTTTGCCAGCGACAAGTCGTTCCAGGCCAAGTGGTCGGCCGTCAAGAAGGCGAAGAAGGCCAAACTGGCGCAGCTGATCAAGAAGGTGCACGGCGATGATGTCAACCAGGAGGCGCTCTTCGACATCCAGGTGAGTGAGCCCATTGAGGGGGCCAGCAAACGGGACGGCAGGGGCAGACACTAACCACGTGCGCGAGGTTAATCCCTATTGCTGCGCATTGGTAATCCCAGATGCGAACGTACGGCTCGTGAAAAACACAGGACGCAATTGTTGCATGTCTGCCTGCTCAAGACCTGGCGCTTGTACCGCGACTTCCGTCGGTGCGCGTCCCCCACGACCTGTTCGCTTCCTGCTCCTGTAGATCAAGCGCATCCACGAGTACAAGCGTCAGTACCTGAACGTGTTGTCCATCATCTGGCGATACAAGCAGCTCAAGAAGATGAGCCCCGAAGAGCGCAAGAAGGCCGTGCCACGTGTGTGTGTCATCGGCGGCAAGGTGGGAGGGTTGTAAGGGACTGAGCATTTGGGTATATATGGGGGCCAGGTCTACTTTGTACGTCGTCCTCGTCCGCTGTGTTCATGCAGCAGTTTAGAGGGCGTGGGATGTTGTCAGACGTTTGATGTTGGAATTTTGCTGTACGCCGGCTGTCCCCGGTTCCTGAGCGAATGCGGCAATGAGCACAGCGCATGCGGCGCACATGCTGGTAAGCCTGTTGCTTGCTGGCCCGTGGTAACCTGTAGACCACCTGTCTCGTGGCCTTTTGTCACCCTCCCGTAGGCGGCCTCCGCGTACGACATGGCCAAGCGCATCATTCGGCTGGTGACTGCCGTTGGTGATGTCATCAACAAGGACCCCGACACCCAGGACTACCTGCGCCTCTACTTCCTGCCCGACTATAACGTATCTCTGGCGGAAACCATCATCCCGGCAGCAGAGCTGAGCCAGCACATCTCCACAGCGGGTGAGGGGGTATTAGTGCTACAGGGAGCGATATGAAATGGACCGACCAGGTGGGAAGGATGGCTGCGGTGTGAAAGGCTATGGCTCGTGAGACTGCCGTGTATTGCAGGACACGGATTACGGGCTGTTCATATGGCGGTGGTTCTAGCCCCAATGCTAGTAGAAGCGGCAATATATACATAATGAAGCTTTCGCTTTCCTGACTCGGTTTCCCCCCTGTGACTCGGACCCGCCTTCCTGGCCAGGTACGGAGGCTTCAGGTACGTCCAACATGAAGTTCCAGATGAACGGCTGCCTCATTATTGGCACCTGGGATGGGGCCAACATTGAAATTGCGGAGGAGACGGGCATCGAGAACGTGTTCGTGTTTGGTGTACGCGCGGAGGAGATCAACCAGCTGCGCAAGGAGCGCAAGAACCTCAAGACCGACCCGCGGTGAGTAACCAAAGGGACTTGTCGTCTCTTCGTCCAATAGGAATGGATGGGTGATTAGCTAACTTGCTGGGAAAGGGCAGCGAGCTAGGCCTTGACGGTTGACTAGTTCAGCACGGGAAGGTTTTATGGAGTTACGAAATGAGTCGCCATCTTTGCCCGTGGAGCTCGCATCTGGAATGGCTTGGTCAGTTTTGACTAGAGCATAGTGCGATAATGCGCCCGGCATAATTCTCACGTGCAGCACAGATGGGGGTTGGGCCGTGGGTGGTGACCGGCGTCTATGGGCGCAGTGAACCTCTCGCTCTGGTTCATGCCTGACAATTTGCGTCGTAAGCTTTTATTCTTTTGTGACAACACACAGGTATTTTGCTGGACGCGGGGGCGAGTAGCTGGGATATAGTGCGCATAGAACTGGAATAGAGCGGGCATAGCAGAGAGGCAGGATCTATCCGGCAGTGACGACAGTCTCCTCCCGCTGGTTCTACCTCAATCCCACATGGCAAAATAACACGAAACTTTCTAATTTATATTTGTTGCACAATTTCTTGCTTTTTTGGGGCTGGCTTGCCTGCATAAAGCAATTCGGCAACACACTCACAACTGGACCCGTCTTTGTGCCCATGGCGGCGTGGCTGGGTGTACAGGTGGGACGAACTGATGCGTGATATTGAGAGTGGCATGTTCGGCGACAAGGACTATTTCAAGCCGCTGGTGGACAGCGTCAACAATATGAAGGTGGGTTGTGGTACGCGTGGGGCGGGTGGTCATAATGATATGATATAATGGTGGTGGTGAGGCAGTGGGGGTGGCGGTGGCGGCTTACTGGGTGTGGAGAGCATATTTGCTCAGGTTCTCTGTTTCCGCGCGGCTGGTGCAACTGTTTCAGTGTTTACTGGGCGCACCTGATGCCACAGGAAGAGTTGTGTTGCGGATTATGCTCCAAGAGCGGATTACAAAACTTGTTCCGTCTTTCCTGCAGGTTGGTAATGACTGGTTCCTGCTGGCCAACGACTTCGCGTCCTACCTGAAAGCCCAGGAGGAGGTGGATGCCTGCTACAAGGACCAATCAGAGTGGCTGCGTAGGTGGGTAATGGGGCGAATGGCCTTGTAGATTTCTTCACATTTGGAGGGTTCGCGGCAGGCTGTACACACAGTCGCGGCAGGCTGCACCCTGACTGGTACGTGTCCGAAGCGCAACTTCGAGGACGGTCCGTGAGGTATCTTTAGTGACTCCTGTCCAAGTACGACCTGCCACAAGTTCCTAGCCCTTCACGCTTTTGCCGAGTTGCCAGGTTGGTCGTTGGACCTGCCCGCCTCGGTCAGGCGTTGCGCCCTCGTGCAGCATGCCGGTGGCTTCAGCTCATACGTTGCCCACTGTGCCCATTGCCCGTGTATGATTGTAATAAGGTGATGGGCACCTTTTCTTACTTGAATATTGAGGAAATGTTACGGATGTTGATTGCCCTTTCCCTGTTTCCAGGTCGATTATGTACACGGCGGGCAGTGGCAAGTTCTCGAGTGACCGCACCATTCGCGAGTACGCTGAGGACATCTGGCACGTGAAGCCCTCCCGGCCAACCATCGCTTAAATGACGGCATGACGCGTCATGCCCTGAATGTGTGCCCCATTTGGGGCTGGCCAGGCCCGCTGAATGGCGGCAGCTTTGTGGTCCTGTGCGTATAAACGTGCAAGCAGTAACGGATCCACTTACTTGCGCGCCCAGAAATGCCTATCCGCTGCTCCTGTAGCCCTACTCGGTATAGCCAGTACGTCCATGTCGCTTCAGTACGGCGCTGACCTGTCGCCTCTGCCGATTGCGTGTCCCCTTGGAAGGGATCGGTTAGCTTGCCTATATGCCTTTTGCCAGCAGTGGCTTGTTCGGTGGCGGCGTTTCTCGGTCGGTCCGTTTCTTGACAATCACTCGGCCATGTAGGCTGTTTAGTTTTCAGCCCCGGAAACTCGTCAGGTCCAGTGCGTCGGTAGCATTTACCGCGCCAGGATGAGACCGCGAAGCGACTGCTTGATCAAGGATGAATTTATCCGGGTCGTCGGCGTGGCTGCAGTGTAGGGCCGTGCGTGCTTACTGCATAGCATGCTCATTAGCAGCTGCCGCAGCGTTGCCACTTGCATTTCCTCGGTATTTGGGTTTCGCTCATGGTGTCCGAGTGATATGAAGATGCTGAATGAAGAACTATGAAGCAAGGTATTACTTTTTTCGCAAGGCATTTCTTCGCGCGCAATGCGCAGGAACATTTCTTCTTTCACAGGCATCTTGCCTCGATATGTTGTACCTGAGAATTTCGCGCGGGTGTCGAGGCGTGACAGTTGGGCCGTGACAGTTGGGGGAGGTACCGAAGAGTGACGGGCGTATGAACCCTTATTCCCAGTGAGGGTGAAGTAGGACTGGCCGACAAGAAGACTTCTTGCCGCTCTGTTCATCGTTCGTTGTTTGCTCTATTCTTTTATCCTAACGTTAAGTAGGCCACCGAGACTCAATTGACCTTTTTAGTATCGTTCAGCTTGTAAATTGTTTCCTGACCTGACGCAATCTGATATGCGGAAATGGGGATGGGGATTGCGGCGACTGCAGCCAACACTGCCGGGCTGTTTTTCTTCAGGGGTAACAGCAATTACCGCAAGTTCGAGAATCCCATGGCTCCATACACATCCGTCCCCCTTGGGATCGATGGGGCATTCCAGAACTTCAGGCGCAAAACGGGAGTCAGTGATCCGTGCGGATTGTTGACGTGATGCAGTTACCCGAAGTCATTTTGCGAGGCCACATCGTAATGGCCCTGTCAGCGGTCGCAGGGCTGGCATGGTCGCGTCGCCTATCTTCGTCAGGTTCCCTATCTCAACCCTGTCCGCCCTGGCGGCGGCGTCTTTCTCCCTCCGCCTCCCTCCTGTTACAGCGGAGGCGCGGGGCCTGCAGGTCCCTCCAGGGAACATGGGATTCTGAATGGTGCTCGTTGCATCGTGGGTTGTGTGGCTGGGTGGATGGGGAGGCTCTGCGGCTGCGCTGGTGTCTGGTGCGGCACTCAGCGGCAAACGTCAGATTTGGGTTGTGTCGTTGCACGCGCCCCCGGCAGTGCAACTGATCAGGCTGTCGTAGACCGGGGTGCTTGCGGGTGTCACTGCTGCTGCGCCTGATTGGCCTACATCGCGTGTAGGCAGCGGCTTGGCAGCCGGATCATCCATCACCGCCGGGTGGTGCGGTTGGGGCTGGTGGGTTTTGTTGACTCGGTAGCAACGTTGATCGCAATGGTGCATATATGCATACGTATGGCATGTAAGCCTGAGGTTTGCTAGGAATACAGATCGCGGTTCATTGTGACATAGCAACAAAGGGTCCAGGGATGTGACTGCCTCGTGATGGAAATGAACTCAGTGCGGCTGGAGCCCGCAGGGATGTGATGTGTAGAGGTGGGTAAGTGGCGAGGTGCGGAGCGACCCCAAGCCTTGGGGAGCTGTGCCTAAGCGGGACTGTGTGTGTGTGTGCGCGCGCGTGCGGGCGCGTGCGGCGCGTGCGGCGCGTGCGGCGCGTGCGGAGGCGTGCGGCGCGTGCGGAGGCGTACGGCGCGTGCGGCGCGTGCGGAGGCGTGCGGAGGCGTGCGGCGCGTGCGGAGGCGTGCGGCGCGTGCGGCGCGTG